AAAAAGTTGCTATGTTTTAAAACTCCCCTTCTCATTGTGATAGAATGTTAGTGTTAAATTATACAAAAAATTTTAGGCTTGTAAATTAGTATTTTAATAAGTAATAGGTGCTCTATTAATAAATTAATAATTTATTAATAATTAGTGCTCCATACAGAAGGCTGATAATAAACACCAGATCAACTCTTTTAAATATGAACCATATTCAAGATAAAAAATTAGAATAACTTTTAAAAGATGTGTACAAGATACAAGATCTCTAAAATCTTTACAATTTGTTGTTATCAATAAAATAAATAAAATTATATTATTTATAACAATATTGCGAAAAGTATTTCGCTTTTCTATTATTCTTTTTAATTTTAATTCTTAAATTTTAAACATACACCTTAGCTTCCGATACAATTTTAGAATATAAAGAACGTCCCGGAACAGATGTTGCTCAAACACAGCTCTCGTTGAAATAACATTTGAAATAAATGGAAACCAGAGCAGGATCATTTTATGGGTTTGTTTCTTGCGGTGTCATGGACAGACCCTCATGTACAATGCTACTGAAGTAATTCCTTCTAAATTTTTATTTACCAGAATGAACGTTAGATATTTCGATCACACTACTCTCTAAATATACTTTTTTACAACTATTTGATTTGTGTATGGTTATGGGATGTCATTACATTCGCATTATAAGCGAGAGTGACAGGATACAGTGTTTCCAGGAATTCCTGTGGGAATTGAAAAGAAAAATACAACTTCCTCCTACAATAAGATTATACGGTGCATCGAGGTTTATTTTATATCTATTTTACGACCATAACTAAATTAGTTCTTTTAATAAACTTCCAGCAATAAGTTACTTATTTGGATTGGGTAATAAAATAAAGTATAAAATTTTTAACACTATAATATATTAATACATATTTATTAAAATACATTTTTCATTAATTTGTTTATCTAACAAAGACATTTGTTTTTCCTTTTGTAACATGAGGGAGATATTAAACCAAGTGCAATAAAGTTTATTAACTAGTGTGTTTATTTGATGGTGATTATTCGATCGATGCAAAATTTATTCAATTTAATTTATTTCTCTGGTCCATAGTTATTAAAATTTTTAACAACTGATTTAATTTTGAATAAAAATATGTACATACATATATGATAGATTTAGCGGAGTTGATTTTATTATTGTTATTATTTTCCTATTATTATATTGTTTACTGCAGAACAATGCGAAAAATGCCTTACTCAATTTCTATCATACAAATCGTGAGGCCGGAGAACATTTGGATAGTTGGGGTACATAGTTGAAGCAAATGAAATAACGCAATAAATATTTACATATATATACGCAATCAATTTAATCAAATGAAATAATTAATTACCAACAAAGCTAAGCAATATGATTCAACAATACTGGTATTAAGAACAATAATTTAAAAAATCACTAACAATTCGTCATTTTATTTCGTAAAGCGTACAATTGTAATTACATATGACTTTATTAAATTTTAATTATATCATCTTATAGACAAAACCATATGGCATACAGGTATCCCTTATCCCACAATATCGTTTCATAAACTATAGAAGAGCGTTTATAAAATTCAGTTTTGTGAAAAAGAAAATATAAAGTCAATAATGATGTAAAATAAAACCTTTGAATCTCTCGAATCGCGTTGTAAAAGCAAAAATTCGAACTATTCTTTATTGTATAAGGATAAGTTTGGATCCAATAACCCACAGTATAGGAGAGCAAGAACGATCAAATCCCAACGGTGACGTATGGAAAGCCACTGAAGCTTATGACGAAATTCAAAGATATGGTCGAGTTTGACCAATAGACCGTATGATTACATACATTTTAAGGACGTACAATTTTATTAACATTTTTCTCGGGCTATTTAATTAATGAAACTTGCATTAACGGTATCGATTATAGCGAAAAAGGAGTTCACGTCACCTTTATTTAATTGGGGTTGAAAGAAAACATCGTTATCGTCTCAGTGACCTCAATGATGTAAACCATTATTGATATTTTAAAATTTGTTTCAAATATTAAAATGTAGACAGTATCTAGGCCAGATATGCCTCTGAATATTTGACACAATTGCAATATTTTAAATACTCTACTGTAATATATCATAATCAAACGAACTGAAATCATTGCTACGATCTAGTAAAGTCATAACTGGCACCTTTTTAAAATATGATTTTAATTAAGTACCTGTTTTTGACTCTTAAAATTTTACTAATTATCTTAATTACTCGAACGTAATTTGTTGTAACAAAAACGTTTGTGAGTTCGACATCGTTTGTACTTCACATGTTTTTGAATGAAATGTTAACCAATTAGTCGCTACTCATTTAATAAAAAAAAAATTCAACTTTGCTCTAAATCCCTTGGTTATTTTACAAAAATTAAGTATTTATGTTATATAGGTTATAAACAAAATATTATTCTTTGAATTAGGGTCAAAACTTAGTATTCAACTAATTTGTAACCAACATCTAAGTCATATTCATTAACCTCAAATCGATTATACCAAGATTTTTCCGGTTCACATCTGACCGACTTCAAATACCCTCAGTGACCTAATCGGCTTTAACGCGTAAAGGTTCAAAAGTTCATTCACAAACAACCTGCCCGTAGGAAAATAAATATGACTTTTGAAATGAAAGTGTTGAGTACGGATAGGCTTCATATTCATTTTATTGAAAATCATTTATTTCTTTGTGATCACATTTATTTTATACAGACTGCTGTAAAAAATATATGTATTGTTATGCAATATAGTCATCACTCAGATAACTATCCGGAAAAGCCAGATATAATGTTAAATAAATTAACGAGGAATAGCGTCCAAACAATTTTCGTCTTTGAAATCATGCCAATAAATATGCAAAGTTCAAGTTATTATTACAACATTGTTGGATCTATTGTTAGTATTATAGAAACATATTCCTTATAATAATACTAGTACAATATCGCAATACCCTTCTTAAACAAAGAGAGTCGAGAGTTAGGCATTCGTTATATAATTCTCGGATTTCCATCCCTTATCCTAAATTCTAAGAATATTTTCTGAACGTTTCGTGTTTCACTATTTTCACTTTACTTATAAAAACTAATGTGTAACATAAACTCTTGTAATATTTGAATAAAATATAGCAGTGGTTGATAAGATTAATTTGTAAATTGAATGACTGAGGGTAGGTAAAATAACTGCATTTATAGGGCAACGTCGCGACAACCCGGCGCCGCTTTCTCACTGATCATTACTACATGGCCTGTAGAACAATGTTGTCATGGTGAGGGCTGCTATTAACTATAAAAAAAACTAACCCCTTTTTAAAAACCTTTGTTAGACTGCTTGTATTACATCTTGTACGCAAGTACCCTTTACGGGTCAATAAAAGACCGAGCGAACAAAGATTCTTTTTTCTTTTTCGATTTAACTTTAAAATTAATCATACGAAAAATTTATAACCAACTAATGAAGCTTGTGCTCATTTCCTTAGCATTCTAAATACGACAATTAATTGCAATAAAATATTTTATTATAAAAAAAAATCAGAATGTTCCCGCATAACAGACAGGTAAATAAAGTACATTGTTGATAAATTTAATTGATGCATTTTGAATCTGAAAATAATTGATCGAGAGATATACAAGTGTCAGTGATTGGGCCCGCAGTGTTATATAAGCGTCGCTCGATAGTACAGGCTGGCGTAAGCAGCTGACTTAACCGTAGCTGAACCTACCCCGCTTGGGATATAACCAATGTTACTATACTTTTTTTGTTACATTACAACTACTTATAAGCGGTCAACTAAAATTGCGCGACTTCAATAGGTTAGAATGGCTATTGATCCTTTTTTAATACAATCAATACACTCAAAATAATTGAAATCTTGACCTTTGAAGTAGAGAATGCCACATTTTAAGAACGTATGGTTAATAGAGAAATTTTGTTAGTAATTTTTCAGTCACTTTTATCCATAATAAAAACAAAATGTATAAAAAAAAACCGTGACTATATATTTATATGTAAATAATCAACGATAAGAAACTTTGAATAAAATTAATAATATTATTTTTACGTAAAGTATAAGCGATCCACGTAGTTTACTGATAGTACGTGTGTGGTTAGGACCATGTCTTCTTTTTAGTTGATATATTAAAAACTTGTCAAACTCACACTTGGATGTTTGGATCTGATGAAACAGGAATTCTAATGCGTCATATTTTATACTAACACTAGTTCATATAAAATTACCATACAATTAAAAAAAAAAACATACATTGTTATTTAATTGCCTCTGTAATTTTAGTGATTATTAATTCCCAAACTGGTATAGTACGTGTGTGGTTAGGACCATGTCTTCTTTTTAGTTGATATATTAAAAACTTGTCAAACTCACACTTGGATGTTTGGATCTGATGAAACAGGAATTCTAATGCGTCATATTTTATACTAACACTAGTTCATATAAAATTACCATACAATTAAAAAAAAAAACATACATTGTTATTTAATTGCCTCTGTAATTTTAGTGATTATTAATTCCCAAACTGGTTTCCAACTAATACGGTATACTTAAATGAAAGAGCTAACTTAAAACTCAAATCGCATTGTAATCGATATCTCTAAGAGGCTCGCATAAATTATCTTTTTACACGAATACAACGGATACGTATTCGCGCAGGTACCAATAAGTAGTTCGGGTTGGCGCAGTCTTACATAACATTGGTACTAGCGGCGCTCACCACTAGCTTGCCCACAGCACATGAACTCAACCACAATATGGTTAAGGGCTGAGAATAGCTGAAATGTCGATTGGCAAATAGATATTCTACTTGAAATATTTTACTAACTATGAAAATTACACTTAATTACAAAGCATTTCTAAATATATATGTATTTATGTTCTTAAATGTTGGCGTTAATTAACAAGAGGAGATTATTTTAATTGGTTCCTTCCAATATTTGTTACAGTTATGTATATCCAACTATGGACGAGCTCGCCAACCAGATCAACTACGTGCTGGTTCACTTTGGCATTAAGAGCTTCATAGGCTTCGGCGTGGGAGTCGGTGCCAACATCTTGGCGAGATTTGCTCTCACCAACCCGGATAAGGTAAGGGCTTCAGTTAATATCTAAATAATTAAAACTCAGACGTTTATATTTTAAGACTGATAATTAAAACTTTATAGGATATATTAACTGAGATCGTCTACGGCTTTTCTATTAACTTATTTTCTAGTTTTATTAAAATTATTATCCATTTACTTATATTTCTAATCCGTTCTAGATTAATAAGGCCATTCGAACTGTCACATAAAATTCTCCTATCGAGTTCAATTGCAGCATTATTTATATAAATATATTTTTTCCCTCGCGTATACGGCCTCCCAAATCTCACGTAATGGACCAAAGGATTAGGATACACAAGCCACAAGGTTTTAAACTAATATCTATAGTTAAGGTCCAAATTAATGGTTAGAACTAAAACGCCGACTAAGGTATTTCAAACTTTCTAGACGAAGGTAAAACTATTCTAAAAGTTTCGTCTCAGTGACGTCAGCACTAAACATTGTATTACATGTAAGCCCTGTAATGAAGTAAAGTGGAACGAGACGGCCTCGGAACGTGTATATTTTCCGACGACAAATGTTCTTAAAAGATTGATAAAAATCTCTTACAATTTCTATAGATCCTGTTTTTCTTGAAAGGAGAAAGCTTACTGCGCCATCTATTAAACGATATCTCCAACGCAGTGAAGCTGAAAACCCGGTTTAATTTGAGTTTTCTTTTTAAGATACACAAAAATATCAATAGTGAGCCATTTTGAATACAGTATGTATCTTTTTTAATTCTTTTGTTTCTTATATTTAGTAGTTGTTTGTCTTTCAATGTAAGAAGATAATTTGCCTTAGAGTTATTGAAGACTCTACCTTCCTATATAATTTAATAACCTTTTCAATATCGAGGATTATAGTTTGGAAGAACAAGGTATAATAGAATTTGATACGTTTTAAAACTTCAGCGTGATACTTACAAAGACCGCCTTAGATCCACCAAGGGAAACAGTATTGGTAAATTTGACCCACTTTATTAAGTTTCAATTGGTGCAGTTGTAGTGAAAGATTGAAAGATTTGCGGAAGAACTACTTTATTTCACAATAATACTAATCGTGGCCTTAAATTGCAACAAAATTATTTTAATTTCTTACGAGAGTATTATATCATTTTATCAAATACATTTATCGTCATCTTATTCCATTATTTAGAAATTTATAAATCATTTAGGTGTCGATTGCACGTTCTCTTGTTGCCTGCTTTTTTTTGTTTAAACTGAACCAGCTATAGATGTTTTGTTTGGAAAAGATCGAGTTTTAATTAAACCCAATAAAGCTAGGTTGATTGTTAATGGGTTAAAGCAAATTAAAGCTTCCAACACTATTACGTAGTATATGGAGCAGCTGCATTTCTGTATGTTTTATTAAAAATTTAAATATCCAAATGCAGTCCATTGAATATCACGCTTGACTAACTAAACAGTGAACTGCAGAGCCTTCTTTATGTTTAATTCCAGGTGGATGCTCTAACTCTGATCAACTGTTCTTCGAGCCAGGCAGGCTGGATTGAATGGGCATCTCACAAGATGAATTGTCGCGCACTCCGCACTCGCGGTATGACGCCCGCCGTGGTCGATTATCTCATGTGGTACCACTTCGGAAGGGTATGACAGCTTTATTCAACACATGAACACTACATTATAATATGTATTATATTCCAAATATACCTGGCGAATTGTTCCCTGAATGGCTTAAGTGCTTAGCTTTTCAATGTTTCTTTAACAATAAGCTTTACTTTTATTACGAACATTTCAGTAAGTATTTGTCAGAAATGTTTCTATGTGACGAAGGTCAAGTAGTCACTTAGGAAATAAAATTTTACTTCAAAGCTCAGCGAAATGCGACTCCATATGCTGTTGCGAACAGAATTGTTTTTTCCTCCTGTGTGTAATTGTTTATGTGTGTGTTTTTATTTTAAATGCTGTTATTTTAAAATAACCTGTTATATGTACTATATAAACATATATAAGAATTTCGTTAAATAATACTTATATCGGTTTAAACTAAACGAGAGAGTAATTTATGTATCAAGTAACGTTGTAACTTAAAAGTCGATGTTCGAACGTGTCCAAGAGTTGTTGGTTGGCCTTTCATCCTGACATCCTAGTTAGAGAATCGGAAAAATGTCGACGAAGCACTCGCTTAAAACTACTTACTAATTTAAATTCACATTTTCATTTGACCTCTTCAGTTATTTCTTGTTACCGCATCAAAAGAAATTTGAATATTATTGAAATATAGTTTTAAGTTTCTTATATTAAGAATAAAAGTATTTATGTAAAAGAATATACGAGTGTAGTTGTTATTAATTTAAAAAATAATTAATACATCTAATAATCGCAAACTCCTAAAACATTTTTTTCGGAATTTTATAGACCCATTAAAATTAATTATTTAATATAATCCAGATACTTTTATTTAGGGTACTTTTTAAAATTTATCCATACCTTTTGAATAATTTAATAGATAAGAAAGGTTTTTTTCTATTCTTTAATAACATTGACGCAATTAACTCTATTATGACTCAAAGGGATTAATTTAATAATCTAATCAGTCAGCTATATCATTGTACTAGTGATGGTTCAATGTTCAAGTCATCACATGTGCCGCAGTGTCCCGAGGAGCGTAACGCTGATCTATCAGCGATGTATCGTTCCTACTTCCGTCGTCACGTGAACGCTGGCAACCTGGCGATGTTGGTGGACAGCTTCGCTCGTCGCTCCGACCTCAACATCGCCCGCCAAGCTGGAACTCTTCGCCCGCCTGTCCTTAACCTGGCGGGAGCACTCTCGCCGCACCTCGAGCAAACGGTCACACTCAACAGCCGTCTACACCCATCCAACTCCACTTGGATGAAGGTGAGACACTTCACACACCCACACACACACACAATCCTTATCTCATTTCTTTCTCAGTCACATGTTTATCTGATAATTATTTGTAACAATTAAAGTGTTTTCACATCTTTCGTTCAAAGGAATATAATTGTTTTTTTAACTCTCACTACTACTATAGAATAATATACTTTTATCCTTACAACAAGACTTTTGATCTTATTGACAACAAATATAGACAACAAATTACGTAAAAATTTTGTACATCTTACTAAACCGTTTGTTTTAAGATCTCCGACGCTGCCATGGTGCTAGAGGAGCAGCCTGGAAAAATTTCTGAGGCTTTCCGTCTGTTTTTGCAAGGGGAAGGATATGGTAAGTTCTATAATGAGGTATTGTAAACATATTACGGTTGACACTTGTATAAATTATAAGTTTTTTTGCTCCTTTTTTATATTTAAGGCAAAGATTGAAACATTTTGAAATATCATCTTTGAGACTCTATATTGTTGGGTAATTTCCCTTTTTCCTCTTAATGTTATCATAGTCATAGAACCAGCTCCAGCTATAATTACTGTCTTGGTACGTGAATTTATTTGCTGATTGAAGTAAAATTAGTTTTTTTAGCAAGTAAAAGCGTATGAGTTCTAAGTGCCATCTAGTGGTTGTCGAGCACAGCTAATAGAAAGGGTTGTCCACCCCTTTCGCAACGTCAAATTGAGTTGCTTAAAAACAATACATAGGTGAGCCAATTTCAACTGGTGGGGTACATTAAAAAGTTAAACTAAGCAAAAATATACAGCTTATTTAATATTACGTAGACGTCTATGTTCTTATTACAAAAAAGAAGCCTGAAAATGTATATATTAGAAAAAGTGATAATTCTGTTTGTTTTTTATTTTTCCATCTGTTGGTCAATAAACACTGATTTCTAATAAAATATTTTCTTGCACCTTTCTCATTCAAACAAGGACTCGTTTTATAAGTTACATAATTTTAAGTTAACGTATTTACAAACATTTGTAACCACACAATTAACTCGTAAGCCAAGTCCTTGTTTCCAGTATAGATGGCGCTTAATACAATTTAATTTTGTTGTAATTTTCATGGCTTATATTTTTATTTTATCTACTGAGGCTGGTTGCACGTTGTAAGATAAAAAAAAACGTTTTAAAATAATGTTTACAAAATAGTTGGTTTTAAATCTTATACCTATATAGTTAGTCATGAAAGTGCTGGGATATCGAAATACAATTCCCGCCATCATGTTAATACCCCGAGTACACACATTTTGTTTGGCTAATATAATATTGCTAGTTTTTTATATATACATATATAAATAAAGTATATATTCGTTAAAATGAGCTGGCAACCTTAAGACAGCGTGCACACAGACTAGTGGTAGCGTATCCAAGCATGTGTTTCTGTGCAGCTGTACTGGCACTGCACAAACTACACACAAATAGCCACCAGACTAGACCCGCCTTCGCAACTATATAGACGAACTAGTGCCGCCTTAGGGTGTAAGTAGTGCTTGTTTTTTACTTATTATTTTATTAAAATAACTATTAAAGCAAGCCAAAAATGTACCTTATTTGTAAATGTTGTTCGTTATTTGTAAATATAGATATATAATTTATTTTATTATTGTCTAGTCGCTGTAGTAGAGGTAGAATATATTGATATGTTTTATATAACTTAGCAATTTATCTATCATGTGTCTTTGAAGAAAATGATATTTCACTCTTATCAAGTAGATGTGTCCAAGAAATAAAATATGAGGTAAAAACTTTATACTTGACATTTTACCACGAGTGTCTTTTATTGCAACATATTGTGTCGCTTTAGTATACTAAAGCGACACAATAAAACATGTTTATATATATAAACATGTTTTAAGATTTCAATTGAATGCACCGCATTTAAGTGCAGGAAAATTTGTTTTTTATCCAACAAGAAGACTACGAAGATACTTATAATTTTTATGGCACTGTTACCAGAGAATTGGAACATTTTACACAATTACTTGAAAAATAGAAAAGAAGACGGGTGTCAAGACATTATAAGAGCTTTTTTTACTATTCAATATCGTTTGTAATTTTGACGAATTTCTGTTCATAAGAATCTATTTACTTTTTTGTCACATGTCTTAAATTCCTAACAACTATAACCAGTAAAATTATTTATTTTGTAATTTAAATAACCTATATTTGAAAAATAACAAAGAACTGGTATAAAATATTCAGCAAGACTTGTTTGTAAGAGAACGACTAACATATCGTTTGTATGTACATGTGCGACAGTGGCGCCGCTGTCTCCAACCAAGATCGTGTTGTTCCGCCGGCTGTCTGACGCTCGCGTGTGCCGTCACTCGTCCGTCATTCGCATCACTGAGAACCCTATCTCGGAGGCTGTGGTCTGTTAGATCACTACTAACACACCCCGACACTCACACACACAAACACACAAAATAAACACAACCCCCACCACCGCCACTCACGCACGCTCGCGCGCTAATTAAGCCTTTGGTATTGTTATTTTAATTCATCCGAACAATCATATCTGTTTTAACTGTCAATTAGTTTTTTGATCAATCTATCGGTTGTTATATTCCGAATATCCTAGGATTAAATCACGCTTAGCTGTTAGTATACGTTTTTAGGGAGCTTTATTTATTTTAGTTTGTATTTAGTTCAATTATAAATTGAATTTCCTTGTATGAAAATGGACGAGGTTGTTTATGATCACATCGAGGAGTTAGGATACCTGAGGCTGAGGTTATACTGTAAGTGTACATATCTGGAGGACAACAACTTAGGTTAGACAACAAAGGAATGGGAACAGCGATGAAAGAGTTTTATATAACAAAGTAACTTTTAAGAATATTATAAGGAACCACGGTTACATATTTGAGCATGTAATGTGAAATTAAATTTATTAAAGACTAGGTACTACCGGGTGCTAGGTACTAGTGTCACGGTATGAGTGAGACGGTTTTGGATGCATTTTTATTTTACCCGTTTTTTATCAGTATTAAATATTTTTTTATAGTATATTTAGTTCTGCGGTTCTACACTCGCTTGGCGACGAGAGTGCAAGTTAGTGAATTATTTATAGTGTAGATGATGACGGATTAAATTCTGGTAGCCGTTCCGTAGCTCTCGTAGTGTAGTACTGGCTGAGGGGATTGAGACTCGCGGAAACAAGACTTAAATAACGAGTCACGTGTTCTCAAACACCCACAAAGCCATCGTAGATGAATAATGTATAATCAATAAATCAAAGATTTTAGAATCTCAATATAAGCAAACTGTTTTTAATTTTAATTATTTGTGTGACTTTATTATGAATATTAAAATGTGATTTTATAATAAAATGCTGTTTTATTTACAATCCTCTAGTCTTATCATGAGTAACTTTGGCTTTATCTAATGTCAATACGTAAAATGGTATTCAAAGTGATAACATCTTAAGATTATTTATACCTACACATTGATGTTGTTAGTTGTGTATAGTATGTATATAAAGCACTACTGGTCTATTCTATGAGCTTATTTTTTTTTTATAAACACTGAATGAAATTAATGAAGTGTCATGTAATGTATTTGGAGTTATAATGAAGTTTATGTTTTTTATTCTTTCACTGACAAATTTGTTGCTTAAAAAAATCTAAGTCAATGATCACTTTGTATCATCCACCTTTTAGATGGTGACTAATGAACAGCGAAATAAAATTCAATTATCTCCAAAATAGTGTGGGGTTGTGTTCCTTTTTTTACAATACCTTCACAATTTCAAGACTATAGGGAGTTTTCTTTACTTGGAGGATGTAGGAAAACTTTTTTTAGTTTAAAAGAAATTGCCTTTTGTTATTAAAAGAGCAATATTTTGCAAGCAATCTTTGTAGCATTACATTCTCATCATAAAAATCATCGCCATTTGACGGATCACCAAGTGCAAAATTAAACATCTTACTTTTAACAACTACGCTCGCAAGCAATTCTTACTATCACTAGATATGCGCAGAGCCTACATCTTAGAAATATAAATAGAATGATTACTTAATAAAATATTATAGCTACTTATCCAACACTATAAAAACTACTTATATATATATAAACTACTTTAATTTAGACTACTAGTAAGAAACAAAAGGAGAAATAAAAGTCGAATTTGTTTGACGACGGATATATTGAAAAGAAGTTGGTATTCTAACATACACTGGAGCGTATTAACATTCCAATACATTGAATATAATGAGTAACATGAAGATCTAAGTCTCATTGAATACTGGTACATAAATATACATACAAAAAACGCGTTATCTCTATCAAGAGACAAATAATAATTATGCAAAATAAATTTATAACTACATATTAGAAACTCGTCTAACAGAGTTGATGGTTATTTATTTGATTATATACAGACATACAGAATATCATAAAAGTTACATTTAATGATATCATAATTCTAATTCTTAATTAGTTATATTTAAATGGATAGTAAATTTTTCATTCAAATATTTCAAGATGTGTGAAGTTTTATACCAAACATTTAATGTTGAAAGTACTCATGATTATTATTTTTTTGTAGAAATGTTATATAAAAGCCTCACAATATTAAAAGCAGCTTATATAAGTTATCATACTATTTAAATTACTAATGTTACACTTAATCAGTTTTCTTATCAAGTTATAAGGATGACTGCACACAAAAATATAATAGTTAAATAATATTTTAACCAGCACCTAAACAATATACTTAAATAACAGAATAAACAAAATCTCATTTCATCTTCCACATAATTATAACATAAATAAAGAAATCATTAGGAAGTTCTAAACAGTAATTATCTAGAATGATTAAATATATCTTAAATCTAAGATACATGTAGTAATGTAATGTAATATGTATGTAAGAAGTACTTTTAACGTACAAGATGTTGAATTGGAGTCGAAATAAATAAAATGTTAGGCCAGTTTAAATAAGCATATAACTTCGCTTGCAGGACATACTGAGAAGTAATAAAAATAATCAAATAAAAGTTGCATGTTTTATAATTAACTCGCTTGGCGTTCTAAGTACTGATGCAATATATAGTAAATATGGAAGTTTAATTATACGCAAAAATATATTTGTAATTTATATAAGCCCTGAAAAAATTATTACTTTTATATTTGCCAATCAACTGAACAACAAGTATTTATAATTTATAATGCTACCAAACTATACAAAGGAATATTAGTTATAATCTTAAATATAGCTGGTATGTTTATTGTGATTGTAAAAAATAAATAAAATAAATGTATGAAAGCGCACAAAGTAATATATAATGAATAGAAACAATTTTAAACGAAAAGTATTTCAATCATCTGTCTTACGACGTTTTTATTCGTAGAAAAGTGTGTTATATATGATAAGATATATATCATAGAATGTTAGGTCGTACGTATAGTTGAGAGCACACTGCACACCGAGCCAGAACAGCACGGTGGCAAGCCAATCTCAGCGACCCAGCAACAGAACCAATACTACAACTACGACGACCATCACGATCATTGACAGGATAACCTTCTTCTTGCGCATCTTGTTCTGGAATCAATACCCACACAAATGTGTTATATACTAATAGTGTTAGTTAGTGCTATGTATTTGTATGACGTTGCTACAGACGTAACCTACTAATACTATAATTGCAAAAGTATGTGAGTGTGTGTGTATGTTTGTTACTTTTTCACGCTCAAACGGCTGAACCGATTTTGATAACATTTTGTATACAGGAAGCTGACATCCAGGAATAACACATAGGCTACTTTATATCCCGGAAATCCTGAAAATCCGCTGATAACATCGCGGGGCGCAGCTAGTTTATTATATTTCATTGTCGTTATTGAAACGATCATCGAAGTTTCTGATATTAGTGAGGCTAGTGAATTTATTGCAAGTGTGGTCTACACTAATAAATTCTGCTTTCGGATTGTCTTGGATCATGCTAGTAGTGTGACTATGGACTATAATTTCGATAGTTCTGTGACATTAATCATAAATTTGACTTTGATGAAACTACTTTTGTTACTATTATCATGAGTGTATTCTTGTTAACAGTGAAAGAGTTCTTTGGTGTATTGTGAACATCATTGTTACTTCTTAGAGATTTTACCTTGTAGGTGGCAGCCTGGCTGAGCTCGCGGGCAGCCGACTCAACGTTCGTGGCCGCATCCTCTACGTTCGACTCTATAGACTCGACCACAGCTCCCTGCTCATGAATCATGGACCCCAGCTCTTTGAATATCTGGTTCACGTCCATTATATCGTTCTGTAATGGACATCTCATTTAGAATTATATAGACAGGAACGATTTTTTCTTTTAGTTTCATTCCCTATTTGAATGTATTTCTAATGAGAGAATAGCCCCCATAATATTCGTGCATCAAAATCTATGAAGGACATATGCCTATATATGAAACACGTCATGTATTTTAACCTCGAGCTGTCGTATGTCTCTCTCGCGTTCTTCCAGCTGTTGCAGCTCACGCTCCGAACTGGCGGACAGCTGCGACTGTCGCACGACACGCTCCCCGAGCTCCACGCCCTCTCCGCCTATAACATATTAATAAGAAGGACTAAGAACAATCCTGAAAGCAAAATTTCGTAATAAACTCGCAGAGGAGTTAAAAATATGAGGGGGGAAATTTACAAGAGAAAAAAATTTTGATTGGTTCCTTAGTAAATCGTGAATGATAAGTTTTTAATACCAGTCTTTGGTTCAAATTAATTTCAACCCCATTATTTACTTTGTAATGTCGAAAAAATGGAGTTAAAAGAATGAACAGCAGGAGAAACAAAACCTTATTGCATTAATATCTTTATCAACTTTTTAGATAATTAAGGAAACTAGGTGTTTCGTTTATTGTACTCGTGTTCATATCTTATTCATATGTTTGTAGTTGTTAAGATAAGGACAGGAAAATCAAAAGGAAGTGCAATACCGGATGTCTTCTTTGCCATTACATATTGAAGCAAAACGTTTAACTAAACTTTCATTTTATTTATCTACCACATACTTGATGTATTTAAAGTACCTCTAGCGTACATCCATCCAATGAGTTATAATTAAAGTAATCCTATTTTTTTCTAGAATAAAAACTCACAACCATTGAGTCAATAAACATAAAAATATCGTTATCTGGTTATTGAACTTTCCTCTTCATATCTTAAAACAATCTAAGTACAATTATGATATATAGAGCGACTTCTCTTTCACAATGAAAAAATGTTTTGAATTAGTATCTCATTTAAATGTAATAAGTACTATAAAAATTTAAGACCAATTCTGAGGTATATAAATAAAACTACTAAGTATTACAAAATCTATAACACAAAGATCGATACGGAAGACAAGGTTTTGTCGGTGGCAGCGATGACGTAAACTTCATTCACTTCATACGTCGAGGTTTTTCTCGTTATGTTAGTCCACTAACTACTCGAACGTAATTGTACCGAATACTTACGAAATATTTCAAAATATTTCATTAAATATCTGATTTTTGTAAAGAATTTAAATTCAATACATCTCAACTATCTAAAAGAATTTCCTCGTGGCCATATAAAATATCAATCAATATTAATGAGTCACAAGAATAAAATATGAACAAATTTTTAATTTTCATAGATAAAACGTTATCATCTTTAAAACTAAATATAAAATGAGTCTAGATATGTAGATAAAAATCCTGATCATACTAATTTAACATGTTATAGAAAAGTGCTAAAAAAAGTTGTATTAATGTTGAATGTTATCATTTCACATATGTATATTAAAACGATAAAAAACGATAATATTTTCCTTCTTTTCTATTGTTCGTGATATGAAATATCCAATGTTGACGTATTATTATTCTCCTTAATGAATCACATTCAATTAACACCATTTTGATTAGAATTCCTAAATGTTATGAAAAAAATTATATTATATATTTAACATTATCCAAAACATAAGTATTCTGTTGTAATTTTGTGTTTTTAAAAATCAAGAATATATTAATATCATTAAAATTTTAAATCATACATATATATTCAGAACTAAAAAAATCATGGTTCCAATTATAATATATTTATATACTATTAAAATTCTTTAGACCTGTTTCTGTAAAACCCGTTTAAAACTATGATCATAAATTTGTCTATCACTAACCTCCAAGTGCAAACGGATCTCCGATGTTAATATTTTGGGCTTTGACTTTACGAACATCATCCTTGCTCTTCTGAGCCGCTGAACGTTGGGTGGCCTGGACATACAAACCTTTGTTACCTACATGACTTTTATTACATATAAGTTATTACAATCTAATGTATAGCACTGAGTAAAAAAATTTTTCTTTGGTCAATTGAGATTTTGCAGTCTAAAATCTTTTAAATATATAAAATAAATCATTGTGAAACTTCCTAATAAAGTTTAGAAACAATAAATGCAATATTATCTTTAATATACTAGAAATTCTTTGTTATTAATTTTTTTGTTTATTTAAATCCTATAATCAGAATAATCAAATGTAATCATGCAATAATTTGATAAGGTCAAACTTTTCACAATTTAATAAGTATAATTAAATCTGTATATTCATTTGTTGTTTATAAAAGTTTAAACATTCAACATTGTTAATAAAGTTATAAAATATGTTTAGAAACTGACTTGGAATGCATTGAGAGTACTCATGTACTCGTCGCTCAGCCGCTCCCTTGTGAGCTTATTAGCAGGAATGTCAGTCGGAGTCTTCATCAGCTCCATAATCAATGACGATGTATCCTTTGCCAGCTTTTGGGTGTAATTTTGTATTTGGCGCCTGAAAGATAGACATAATAATTTCCGGAATAACGGACCGAAGATTCTATGAAGTAAAGATAAATAATTAACTCACAATTGATTCCGCAGCTCCTGTGAATCTTGAGGTGTCTGGAGCTGGTTGACCATCTTTGACATAGAGGACACTGCAAAACATTATTAGACTATAGAATTTCATAATAATTTCATATTAACATTAGTACATTTAGTGTATATTCGTTTATGATAAGAGAAAACAGTGTAATTTTAATAACTTTTCTTATTTAAATATAAATTTAATTAAATAAATCTGCTTAATGTGCAATTGGATTAGCATTTCAGATTTTAAATATTATATTTAATTGATTATTTAAAGAAATGCAAACTCACCATTCTGCGATATCTTTTTAATATTGCTTGCGATCGTCGATGACAGACGCTTAAAATTATCGTTGTCTTCAAACGATACTCCCCCCTGGTATGACGCCTCCATTTTGCCTTAATAGAAATTTACCAATTACAATTTCAATCACTTTTCCAACTAATAATCATATACGTTACAATAACTGGACGCAAATAAACTATGTTACGTTTCATTTAACTATAGTGAACGCAATACCAGAAAAACTGGAAAAATACAAAACTCACCTTAATCAAATTAATGTGCAGATGTAAGTTCTTACACTCACTGTTTACACCATCAGGTAAATTAGCATTAAATCTATCCACTATAAAAACAGAACAAAATATGGTGACTCTAAAAGGGACAAGGGATAGTCCCAAAACGAATAACGTCACCCCAGCCGATATCCGGATTCGGCAAGTGCAAACCTCCAACTAAAATATTTTGACGTTGACAGGTAGGAAATTTCTATTAAGTACCTAGGCAGTGATAGCACAGACAAGCTTTTCTTATATGCTGAAAAGAGTGCTTGATACGATTTATAATATTATTAACTGTCGATTTTAAGTTACTATCTTTTTTTTTAACTATTTAAAAACCATGCTTAATCTGATATAAAGTGAACATAACAAATTATTTGATTTATATACATAATTACAATAATTCTCCACTTCATTGATACCAATGAGTTTTTACTGAATACGTCTCCGTTTACTGGAAAGGCTATTTTCTGAAACAACTTTCAGTTGAAAGTAAACATTTATTGACACATAAAATTAAAGCCTAGCCATAGACACGACGCTCTTGGCCTAGCTCGATAAAATATAGGCACTAACTGCACACTGAAACACTAAACCCAATGTATCTGTGTGCATTTAATCATTACATAGCTTTCAGGACCTGGGCAGAGCTGTATTGATTTTTCATTATATAATACTGTGCGTTGCACTCTCAACGACACTACATAAAATTTATCTTCAATCATTTTAATGACATTTAAATTAAACGACCCTGTAATTTTAATCTGAAATATTAAATGAGAAGCTCATCCGTAATCAAAATAACATATGTCTTGAAGATTTTAATTAAATCATTAAAAAAAATCACTAAATATTTATAACACTTTGTTTTATTCTACACTTTTCAAAACTTTTAATATTTTATTAATAGATTACCTATTGGATCTGTTAGCATAATCGAGCAATTAAGCAAGTAAAAAGGTCTGTTTTACAATATTTTTACTTTTAGTTAATTATAACTTTGACAATTTATTATATGGAATGAAAAACCATGTTTATTACATTTTATCCTTGATAAAATGTTATATTCTTTTAGTTTTGTGAATCCTTTGTTCTTTTTATTGAAAAACCATAGATTTATTAAATTTAAGTTTAAAAGAAAGCCTTCTTTAAATAGAAGAAAGGCAGTTAGAGGGGGTTTAATCGTTTCAATTTTATTATTGTATTTTAGCGTTTTATATTTTTGTGTCTAAAAATATCGATACAAACCAAATTTTTAGCGATTAAATTGTGATATTAATTTATAAAATGTTTCAGTAAAGTTTGGAATATCTTCAAAAAATTTAACATTACAGCTAATGTAAAATATTGACTTCGCATTTCTTAAAAATTAATTTTCATTTTTCACTTATTTACATTTATTTTTTATTTTTTTGTTTCTTATACAAAATCCTACAATTGCTTTTATTAGTTAGACATATCATGGACAATTTTAAAGAAATAGATTAAACAAAAAAAATGGAGTAATAAAGTTACACCTCAAATAAGCAGGTTAATACTTGTCTATGATATTATCCGATATAACTAAAGGAGCAACAGAATATATAGGTAAGTCTATACAAACACGTATACAATTTTGCTGCGCTGTACGCTGTAGCTGTATGCCTGTATTATTCATTATGTATTTGTCTCCGTGTCGGAGTCGGCGCTTATTAACTGAGAGTGTGAAATATTTTATGTAGAATACATCAGAGTAGATCTTGTCATTACTTGTTATACAAAACAGTGTATATAACGATATTGTAAAACAAAATGAACTTATTTAAAGTTAGAGTACTTTTTGTCCAAGGTGCATAAATATTTTTCTCATAGAAAACGGTAGATGTAAAAATGTATGAATGGTACATTGTGTCCGGTGAAGTGCAGATAACTGAAATATTTTGAAGAAGATGAGGATATATTAACTTAGTAAATCGAGGTAAGGATAACGCCGCGTCATAAGTGGATTCCATATTATTAAAGTGTAATGTCCTCGTCACACACCTTTTGTTTTTTTCGCTGCAGAAGTCAGGCACTTTGTACAATTACCAAGATGGATCCATCAATCTACCTGCAATACTCGCCGCCTAATGGGCTACCTCAAGAGTCGAAACTGGCTACATATATGGTAAAACATTAAATTTATGACAATTGTCAATAAACCACTGAAAAAACTGATGAAAGTTCGGATTTTAACCATCCCAATATTTTCAGAACCATTCTACGGTTACCCCAACAAGGTCTTTAAATCAAGCCATGAGTAAGCTGAGCATTGAAGCTTCTCCAACATCATCCAAAAAGGTGATCATCTTTATTAGGATATAAACTTTACTGAAAGTTTCATGCAATAATTAATGCTTTGTTTTAGCCAATGCCTATGACAATATCAGGCCATGTCCCACAACAACAGGTAAAGAAACTCACAAAGAATCATATTAACATTTTGAATTATAAACATCATTTAACATTTGGCTTCCTTCTACAGCAGTTAATCCCTCACCCGCAACCACCTGTGAGTATTATGGAAGGAATCAATTTAGTTCAAACCATAACAAACACTAATTATTAAAAATTACTTTTTGCTGCCGAAGCCGATAATGACTCATATTCCACCACCTCACTTGCCACCGCAGGTATGTTCTCATTATGTCATATAAGACCCTCATGAGTCTTTTGTACATATAAATAACATACTTTATGTCAATTTGTTTTTGCGACAGGCATTGCTAGCTCATCCACCACCACAGGTATAATAAATTTATTTTTTCATTATTGTCAGAAGATGACATATGTATCCTTTTTAAAATCATGTTAGTCAAACCTCATTAACCAAAGCAAGAAACATATTTGGTATGCATATTCTTATTGTTCCTATGTTGTTGTTGTTTGATGTGTTCTAGATAGTATATGCTTATGTCATGTGTGCTTTAGTAAAAAAACATTGATGTCATTGCTTTAAAAATCCTCCAATGCCATATCAAAATGTTCTCTGAACATGCGAGCTCCAAAACATTATTATGTAGCTATAGTATGTAGATATCATATAGGGGTGCAACACCAAAGTAAATTCAGCTTAATTCCCAGACCTAGGTCGTATATTTCGCCTGCGCGGATGCGTCCCGGGAAATACCTGTATTGATTGCACACCCTGTACATATTTGTCGTGTCTGGAACGGGTAGGGGGGGGGAAGGGTATATGCAATTTACGTCTGAGCCGAGATTAAATGAACGCCATAGAATACTGTTATATGGCAATTATAAATAGCGATCGGAACCCGAAACACAGATGTTATTTTCATATTAGATTTGAATATTTGGGTATTATTATGAAAATAGAGACGTAGATACCGTTGCAGCGAGTTATATATGTACTTATTATTTCGGGCATTCATGATACTTAGTCCAAAGTTTATAGATTCTTATCTTTATAAGGGACACTTTTATAAAAGATACTCCTTAATTAAACATCTTTATAAAAGTTTTTTTTCGGTCTGTAATAATATTCAACAACTGGACTTTATGCTTAAGAAATTTAATTTAAATTATTTTTTTTCAATTTCGATCCACAAAAGGATGAATTTTAATGAGTGAAGCTTCAAAAAGAACTAATAATATTAAAAATTTGGGAACTTTCAACCAAACAAATAAACATGTAGCATCAGCTAGACATATAACTATAACGTTACAGACCGTGATTGGTGATAGATTAATTCAATTGTCAGAACTACCAATGGCGGCATCACCTGCAATTTTAATCTAGGTGCTGATTGGAGAGTTCGTTCCAATCAACTACTACACGCACACACCATCGCACGCGCTGATCCAGGAATCGCCTCAGAGCTCCCCACCAACTCCTATGCCGATGCCGATGCCTGTCACCACTCAGGTGCACCAGGTACTACAGATTTTGACAATTATCAGTTTTTATACCATACTAGCGGTGTTACCCGCGGATTTCCGAGATTTCCGAGATTTTCGGGATGTAAACTAGCCTGTGTTAGTCCTGGACGTCAGCTTCCTGTATACAATTTTATCAAAATCGGTTCAGCCGTTTGAGCGTGAAGAAGTAACAAACATACACACACACTCACTCACAAACTTTCGCAATTATAATATTAATACGATTGAAAGGAAATATAATTGAAATCTACCAAGTAAAAAGGAATAGAAGAATAGAAAAGGAGATGTTTTATGTATGATTGTGTGTTCTACCAAAAATATAAGACTGTTTCTTTCGTGATTCGTTCACATTGATATGATTCGAAAATGGCGATAGTTGTCTGAAACTTAAGTTTAATAGTTTTCGAACAGAGGCACAGATAACGTGAAACTTTTACAATTTTTCAACAACTGTTTTTAACTGTTACAAAAACTTTCAAAGGTTTATAAAAAAAAACTTTATTTCGTTAGGAGAACGTGGGTGGGACAACTTATTTCTATTCAACAAATGCTGACTCTCTGAATGCCTCTGCAGTCATGAACACTCCAGCGGCAATGGGTTAGTAGAAAAAAATTAAATTTCTAATTAATTCCCTATTATCCTCATAATGAAGCTTTTTTTAATATTAATCGGACATTCAAAAAATAAATTATATTCAATATTCTACGACTATAACTTACAGATATATGTATATATTTTTATATCAATTTTGACTACATCGTTTATTTCGAACACGTTATTATTTGTTATCTCTCATATAATGTTCTATGGTATTAATAAGGTCCCGATGTGATGGGAGTGGGGGTACCAGTTGCCAGCCCTTACGCATCACAAATGTACGCTGGACCCACATCCCACGCTAGCGCAAACCACAAGTCAGGTGAGAATCTTCATAGACCACACATATAATAATTAAAGTTATATTATCTATGAATTATATACAGCTGAAGCCTTTACCTTATTTTACAATATATTTTTTTATTAATTTATATGTTATCTTAATACGACTTGGCGTAAAAAACTAAACATAGTGTTCATAATGAGATCTAAGACTTTCGCAAGTATTCATTTAAATTAAACTAATATTTTTAAGATTACTACACGTATTTTATAATATTGTAAAAACTAAATACTCCGGACATTTCGGTTACTTTTCAGCAACCGTGATCGCGGTACGTGGAGTGATCTGAAAAATATTAGTTTTATTTAAGAGAACGTCCAGTTTCTGTGCGAAGATTTATTTAACTCTGAGGATGTTTCGATCTGATTTTTTTGTATTTCAATATGATAAATAATAACAGCATGTTGACGCAGAAATAAATGTTTTTGTTTGACCGGTTTAAAATATATTAAAATATTTTAATGCGAATTGTATTGTTTGCGTTCTTACTGAGCGGGTCATTGAATTAATTTATTTGTTTCTCTTGAAGTATTTTTTTTTTTTTTTGTAGACGTATATATATTTTTTGTTAAACTTTATTCAGAGAATTTAAATAGATTAAACCCAACTTTCTTCTGATGTTTTCAAGACTAGATTGGCTCACTTAAGTCATAACATGTACATATTATTTTGCTTTATATATTAACTTTACCTTTCTGTGAACATAATAATAATCAATATTATAATAATCGCAATAATCATCATTACACTTTACATAATATTATCACAGATTCAATTGCTTTCAAATACAGTTAAAACCACATGATGTTTTCTAAGTTCGGATCGAATGAAAAATAAAACTCATATGAAAAAGCTTACAATCAAATGATTTTGGTATTATGCGATCGTCCTTTATTTGCTTCAAATGTTGCGCAGGCTGTTCATATTATAATATGCTTGCGATGCCTTGCGACTACTAGAAGAAATATAAAAGATTTTTTTTTTTCTTTGAAATTGGTATCTTGATGCAATCGGCGGAAAAGCTTACAAGCTGAATCGATAACTAATCGATTTTTTTTATATTAAAATATATATTTGGCAACATATAACAACATTTCATAATCAAGCAACAGATGATGAAAATCATACGATGTTGGTCTGAATATTTGTTTGTTGAAAAAAAAAACATAAAATTTCATCATAATCAGTGACAATATAAAATAATCTATATTTAAATCAAATAGCTTTGAATTTATTATGGTAATATTTTAAAAATCGTTTGCGAATGCCGAATGTACTGACGAAGTAATTTGTCTTGTAACCTTACAATTACGTTTATGGTCACTTGCTAAAAGACACTATAAAGCGAAATTAATTTATTTCCTAATTATAAGCAAAGCAAAGAATTTGAAAGAAGAAAAGCAAAGAAAACAAATACTAATAAGTGTTTCGTGTTAGGTCTGGCGCAGGCTTTCTACATGCCGGAAACGATTCGCGAGGAGATCTATCAACGAGCTCAAGATGTCTTCCTACAGCATGACCCGATGGCTTATCCAGGTATGTTTAAAACTTATTTGATGTAGCCTACGAAACTGGCTTCTACCACACACGGGCAGTCTGCAAGTACGTGTCCAATGAAACCTATATTATCAGATTTTCATCTAAATTTCACATTATAATCTCGTATGCCCATGATCCTGGTAGAAAATACATCGAGAAGTAAAAATTAAGAATAAAAATTACAACCATTTGCCAAAAGTATTTCGTAGAATAATAATATAGGACAACCTTTAGCTGAATGTATTTCAACAACATACGGTTCTTCCAGAATAAGTTCGCAGTAATACTGCCTTTTTTATTATAGTATTACTAAATATTTGGCGTGTCGAATCCGACAGATATTCCAGAGGTGGTAGACCGTTATGCTGAGTTGGTACCGCTTGAGGCGACGGGGGCGCACGCTCTGGCGACCTCGTACCGCGCCACTCACCGCCGGCGAGCAGACCACGTGGCGCTCCGGAGACTACACGCGTGCGTCGGCGCCGCAGCCCCCGGCAGGGTCGATATGTGGAAACAACTCGATCATCCAAATATAGTCAGGCTCCAACAGTGCTTTACTACTAAAGCTTTTGGAGATCACTGTGAGTATAGTAGCTTTAATCCTACTAATATTATAATTGCGAAAGTTTGTGTGTGTGTGTATGTTTGTTACTTCTTCACGCTCAAACGGCTGAACCAATTTTGATAAAATTTTGTATATAGGAAGCTGACATCCAGGAATAAGATATGTATAGGCTACTTTACTTCCCGGAAATCCCGGAATTCCGTGGGGAGCAGCTAGTAATAAATATATGGCAACCCCAACGAAAGACCGTTTTATACATAACGATGATCTGACCGTAATTACATGAAAGTTATATAAGAGTATATTAATAAAGAAACAATGGAAGTGTTCATAATGAAGCTTATCTTTATGTATGTTTATCAGCACTGGTGTTGGTGTACGACTATCACCCAGCATGTATCACGATGCTGAACAAATACTTGGGTGGTGCTGGCGGTGATGTGAACGGATTCATGGATCCCTTCTCTTCAGATCCAGATGCACCCAGACCCTATACACATCAGGTATGAAAATATTTTCTATCTAACCGATTCTTGATTTTCATCAGCCTATCAGAAGCCCACTGCTGAGCAAGGCCTCTTTCTCACGTGGAGAAGGTTTGAGCATTAATCACCACGCTTGCTCAAGACGGGTTGGTGATTTCAAACTTATAATTGTGAAACTATAAGTCCAGGTTTCCTCACGGTATTTTCCTTCACCGTATGTCAATGATGTCTAAATAATCCTAAAACCACGGCAAAGAGAGGTGGGCCCTTTAACCACTAGGCCACCACTGACTTTTTAATACTTGATTATTAACATGTATTTAGTGGATTACGTTATTTATGTTTGTTTATAAATAGAAAAATGCGATGTTACGAGCGGTCGCGACTGGCCAGCTGTTGCCTGAAGCCATGTTGTGGAGTATGTTGGTGCAATTGACATCCGCACTGAGAGCTATACACTCACACGGGCTTGCTTGCAGGTTAGCATTGTTTAATTTTGTTCTTAATATAACATAGTTGATATTCGAAATGTAAATATTTTCTATGAGATAATTTACGTTTCTTATAAGCCCATATTGCAATCAATAGCTTTCTATACGTAGATTTATCATGATGGCACATTTATTAAGCTATTACCAGTGAAATCTATTTGAAAGTGTATATAAAATGAAAAATATTAAAATTTAATCTTAGGACCCTTGAGCCAAGTAAGGTGATTGTGAACGGGTGTCGTCTTCGTATCTCGTGGCCGGGTATAGCGGACGCCATGCACAATGGCAGCTTCGATGTTATACAGGTTGAAAAATATACTTAAATAACTCTAAACCTATTTGTTATACTGATTTCAGAGCAAAGAGAACCGATTACAGTATTTATTATCATTTCTTTTTCAATTTTTTTTTAAGCCATTTTCATGAGAATAAATTGCAATACAAATAACTATTCATATTATGAGATTCTATGTTCATCTTATAAGTACGTGATGGGCGAATTGTTTGATATAAGATTTAAAAAAAACTCATCTTAATTTATTAAAAAAATACATTCTCAGAGATGATACGGTGGGTAGATTTTAAGATTATCGAAATATTAAATAAATTCTGTGTTTAAAAGTACTTTAAAGGTGATTTCTAAGTATACATTACAGGCTCAGCAAGAGGATCTAGTGGCTCTTGGCCGTCTGATTCTATCTTTGGCGTGTCGCACCGTACACTGCGATAATATAAACGCCTGCATGGATCTCGTAGCAAGAACATACTCGATGGATCTCAAGAATATGCTCATGTTAGTTAAGGTTTTAAATAAAACTTGTCAAAAAAATATATCTCGATACAAATAGAAGTAAAGAATTGGGTAAAACAATCAGGTAAATTTTCCAAGTTCAATAGCTTAAAAATATAAAGATCCGGGTCACACAATTTCTTTTTGTGTAATGAATAACGGTAACAATTTTTTCTATATAAATTTATTAATTATTAAAATGTGGTAAGTTCTGTAATAATTCATATAATGCAAAGTAAATACTCTCAACCATACAAACGTATGGTCAAATGCTACCAGGTATTTGCTGACACCGTCTCCGAACGTTCGTCGCACCATCACCGACATCATGCCTATGATCGGTGCTCGTTTCTTCACACAGGTATGTACAAATATAACTATTATATATCCTCGTAATATTATAAAGGCGATTGTCAGTTTAAGTTGAATAAGCGATTAGGAAATCGGTTATATTTGAATATAGAAGGAATTTTGAATGTGTCTACAAGATCTAATTCGATAAGCCTAGTAAGAAGAGAAGATATTATGTTGACAAATAAAACGAGGAATCAAAAACTTTTAAGAACAGAACATGTCTGTGGAAAAAGAAAACATAGAAATAATAATTTCTCCTTTGTTATTGAAGAAATTGAAATAAAAAGCTCAATCGCTTTACCCATAAAATTATATGCTTTTAGACTAAAACAGTAGTGATATTCAAGTATTTAAAAAATTAATATCTTGCACAGACGTAGTTTTTAAAATCAACAATGTGATATAAAAATAAATCTAAACATGGAGGCGATTGGTAATTCATCATTTAAAAAAGATCACACACTAGAGAGAAAAGACAATACTCGTGCGAGTTATGTGGCTTTTGTAAATAAACAAAGCATCGTTATTCAAAAAGAAAACAAATTTAATGTACTGAATATACTGTAACCTACAGAATCAAATACTGCACAAAATATAACGTTAACGATTTTTAAGTATGGTCACTAATTAGATATACAACAGGACTACGATAAGCAGATTACGAACCAATCATACAGACGGTGGAAACCTAAATAACAAGTGTTGGGCCATAAGGCCCTAAAGTTGCGATTTAAGTAACGGGCTTGTTTAAATCTAATCTTATTCTGTCACTCAAAAAGATAAACAGAGGCCCACAAAGACAATTACACTCATTACTATTAATAAGTTTCGATAGGAAACATAATGAGTAAAAATATATAAAAAAAACACAAAAAAAATATTAAAGTGTGGGAGTTTACATATTTAAGTTATCTTCGACTTTTAAATGGCTTAAAATTGAAGAATGAACTACAAAAACTGACCTTTATCCTTATATGTATATACCTTTGACAAAAAAAAAACGGGTAATATACGTAAAACGCTTAAAACCATTTGGAATATAAGTAACTAGAAAAGTAAATTTGCTTACAAGTAAATGAATAAGAATGTTAAATGCATACTGGAAAAAAAAATTAACGCTGAACTAATGCAGCAATCAGAGGGTATAAAATACCAAAAAGATAAATGTGCCAATAAAAAGAAAAAATGCAAACATCGGAAGAAAGGTTCTCCAAATCTATATGACGTTCTTCGTTTACATCTGTCAAGAAAATGGCCACCCTTAAAAAAGTCAAGACTCTTTTTATTAGTAACATGAAAAACAGTGCTTGTCGCAAACCTAACCTTTTTTTTTTTTTTTTTTTTCTACGAGGGGAATCTTTTAAAGACTTCCTGCCGCGGGGGAAACGCGACAGGGGCATGTGGGATTTCCACCCACTAAACCACCTCGACGTTCTCTGCGCTGTGCGTAGACTAGTGAGCGGGAACGGCAAGCCATACTTCCGCTCACTACGCACGAGTCCCGAAAGGGACTCCGCCATCGGCAGGGGTATCAGTGGCTGACCACACCACCCCTCCGACTCAAGAGCAGCGTGCCGGGAACGCCAAACACGCTCGCAAACCTAACCTAAACTAACCTAACCTAACCTAAAGAAATAGAATAAAGGAACTCTTACTGTGATGGGTTGAAAGTTGAAGAGAGTCTTTTAAAACCTGAGAATGAATATTGAAATTAACTAAATGGTTATTCTTTTCGACAAACTTCGATAAAGATTATGATTCGTCTAAGAAGTAAAAACATTGATATTAGCAAAATTTTCCTCGATTCCAGTACGAATGAGGCCATAGCAATAAAAAAATAATATTCGAATCTTATAGCTCCAAAGGGATGATTAGAGTGAAAGTCGCTAACAAATTTTTGTGAGGATACAGATGTGCTCTTTTCGTAATTGCTCTGAAATTGTCATTTAATTTAAAATGATTATTAATAACATTTAAGTGCTTCTACAGTTCTATGAAGATTAATTGAGTGAGTCATATATTTCCCTAAAATATCGCACCAAATCTAGTTAATGCCCTCATAGAATTATTAAATATTTATTCTATATTTTATAAAAAGCTCCTCTTCAGTTGCCCATTTCTTTTAATACTGCCATTGATTTGGGGTTGCGCTTATTGTTCGTTGTTGTTAATAACCTAGATCATTATATCGCTGCAAAACTTGATAATACACCTTTTGTCCATTGATCCAGTATAAACGATCTATTCTTAATACTATAAAACAGATGCTTGATACACTTCATAACGTTATTTTATTATTTAGGTATTATTTTTGAAATTAAATACTATCCACAACGGAAGTTCAAAATAAAACCTTTAAGTAACATCTTGTATATAATTATTCTTCAGCCTTTGTTAAAATGGGCGATCAAGTCGCTTTTAAGCTTTGAGGTCTAAAGAGGGACAGTCAAAGACTCTCAAAAAGATGGGGTCATTAGATTGAGGCCTGGAGGTGATTTGTAATTTCATTTAGCTATATTAATTATGGTAGGAGAACAAAGTGGGCAGTAGACAGAAAAAAATAAATTTGGGAACACGTGCCCTTACTTAATTCCTGTTGTTTTAAATACTAATTGGAAACGGTTTTGTATGAATTATATACATGTAAATATATCCTGAACATTACTACAGATTATAGCCATCATGAAGGAAACGTAATATTTGAAAGAAGGGTTGTTTATTTTACAAATCGGAAGACGTTCTACCACTATGCGGACTTAACAAGATATCTGACAGCACTATCGTAAGCATCCAGTGCTTTTGATATTATACAAGTGTTCCTTATTTGTCACACGTCTAAGAATTTCAAACAAGAAATTTGGCTGACACCAATGGAGACGAAAGTCAGTGAGAAAAAGTTTTTGACATTTTCTTTGTTCTGGATGGAACCAAATACGATCTAAAATGATAATAACAGAACAAAAATTAAAGTTCCATGAGCCCTGTAATAAAAAACATGCAGGAAACTTTAAAAATTAGAAGACATATCAAAGTGGACTAAATATTAAGAAAAAGCACAATCTCTACTAATAATGAAGTTTAATTTATCACGAGAATCTTTTTTTTTTATTTCAAAATTGTTTATTTTAAGTTTACAAAATAATTAAAAACCTTATTTATTTTATTTTATACCTAATTGGCTTATTTGATATTTACATCGCTTGGAGGTATTAGATGATATAATATTTTATTTCCAATAATAAATATGATGTCCATATAGTGTGCAGAAGTTTGCAGATGTTAGAACTGACAGCATATTATAACTCACAGTATCATGTTGAAGGTGGAAGCGCTAGAGCGGCGCTCGGACGCCTTCGAAGAGCAATTAGTGAATGAAATAGACAATGGTCGACTACTGCGTATTCTTATCAAGCTTGGAATTATAAACGAACGTCCAGAGTGAGTACCTTATATATAAGAGGTAAACAAAATCATTTACATACTAACAAAGGCCCTTCGTGATGAACGGTATGAAAATAAAGAAATTAAAAGTATAATATATTCGGTCAAAAATATTCAACTTAATTTAAATTATCGTTCTATTTTAATGTTGGAGGTGAAAAAGTGAAATAAGAGTGTGTGACATTTTTGTGACTTTCTTCTAATCAACATGGAAGAAGCTACAAGACACAGTTTTCGTCCAAGTATTGTAATAAATTATTATTATTATTTATTTTTTCTCAGAAACTACTGAACTCAATCGTCTGTTTTATATCCAATATGTTTTCAAAAATGATTTCCAATTTTTTTATATTACGAGCCTTCCGGCTTTTGTCTCTAAATTATTTATTTATGAATAATATTATTAGTAACAAAACTGCCATTAATCTAGTTAAAAAATATATTACATGATAAAATTTGGTGATATATTCAGATTACTGTCTCACAGTGTTATATTTGAATTAACGTCGACGACCTCAGAACCTTGCAGTTGGTTCAAGGTTTTAAATTAATAAAAAACAGGTTTACAATTTCAAAAAAATATTTATGGATGAAAATCATTGAAATCCTTATTCGAACTGACAAAGAAATCTCTCATGATGCAAATCTTTTTATTGAAATAAAAATTTGTTTCATACTATCATTATACATATATACGAAATTCACTTGGAACATTGAATACAGAACATTATTTAGGTTACAATGAAGTAAGTCTCATATACAGGGTGACTGGTGAATTACTATCAATATTTAAGGAGCATACTGGGTACATGATTCTCATTCGAATTATGTAAAAAAAAATAGGTACTTAATTTTTGATAATTTTCCGTATAAATAAATAAAGTGTGTACACGTTCCAAGTGTTCCAAGTGTGGACGTGTGCGGCGGCGTGCTGATACAACACTACGCCGCCGCCGCGTCTGTGTGAGTGTGTGTGTATACCTAATCTGTAGGGTGTTCATACGATGCGTAATTAATAACATAACTTTTGGTTAACTTTACTTAGAAGTTTATTAATATTTATGTTACATTAATTTTTATTTTGTCATATATGATCGTCAAATATCACGTCCTCAAATATCGATAGTAATTCACCAGTCACCCTGTATATTTTTAGTAATAAAGTAAATAAATTTATAGGCTGAACATGGATACGAGTTGGTCGGAGACTGGGGATCGATATATGTTGAAACTGTTCCGGGACCATATCTTCCACTCGGTGACCCCGGATGGCCGGCCCTGGTTGGACAGGGCCCACGTGGCCGCCGCCCTCAACAACCTGGATGGAGGGAACCTCGACAAGGCAAACGAATAACACATTAAAATACATTGCACTTAGTATATTTTTTCCATATCAAATCCCAACTATGAGCACTTTTTTCTTTTGTCTTTATTTTTAATAGATAACAATGGAAGTCGATTTCATTCACCCTTCGCCAGTTTGTACTGAGAATGATAATGTTAATATTGTGTCCAGGTGGAGCTGATGTCGCGGGACGAGCAGAGCGTGCTGGTCGTTTCGTACGCTGAGCTGAAGCACTGTCTGGAGAACGCTTACGAGGAGGTGATGGCCGCCGCGGCCGGTCCCTAGCCCGAGGAGTCCCAGGATAGGGCGTGTTTCACCCCTACTCCGATACCGTCCCCCCTCCCCACGCCCCCTCCCTCGCCCGCTCGACCTCACCCGATGCCCCTCGCACCTTACGGACCCCTCGGCCCCATCCCCCCCTACACAGTCGTCTACCGATGCGTGTGCGCGTTCTGTCTCCCCGTCTACAGGGGTTGAGGAAATGAACAGTTATAACCGGCCAGATGATCGCGACCCTGTATGCTTTATGTGTAACGACGCCTAGTGTCGTAATATATCCGCGATTTCCTTATCGATGTACGTGTACGTAGATGCGATCCTTCGACGATGAATTAGTGAAACGCGGTGATGGCCGAGAGTGAGTGCGTATCCAGCTATGCGAGTGGCCCGACGGACTTGTTCTGGGTACGGTTAGTTGTAAGGATAAGGATGGATCCATGTTACTTCAACTTAGTTAGTGGGGAAGGAACACGGTCTACCCCCAATACATAATAAATATACGATCTCATTAATTAATGCTCCTTCTACGAGCTCTATACGAGTATGTACGTCTCGTCTACCGTTTTAGATTTCTATGACGCCCATTTGAAATTTGTTTATATGAAGTCGGCCGCCCGAACGTGCGCAGCAAAACATTCCACACATCGCCATTCAGCGATCGAACGAATTTATTTGAGCGTCGACATTCCTCTACTGGGTTGAGACCCGCAACAACCCGGCAGTTGGGTCGAGAGTGTGCGTAGATCTGAATTTGTATTAAATACTATATAGAACATATATAATCCATTACATATATTATTGAACATTATATTATATAATAGTCATTATGGATGTTCAAATAATATTGATGTGCAATTTACGACTAATACACGTGATATATTTTAATCCGTGGATATTATATTTATTGAATATTATATGAATTTCATTTTTTCTTAATAGCCGTACCGTTGATGTTGCAAATTCTGATCTATGTAGAAGCGATCACTCTGTTTATTTAAATATATTGGTGGTAATATTCTGAGATGTTTCTAAGTGTATATTTTTTAAGTAAATAAATTATGTGAACAATTTCATTTTTTTAATTTAAAATATTTTTTACCGGTTTTTATGTGATGTATAAGTACTCAATTCTTGTTCATAAAATATGTGTAAGTTTTGAGACCAACATCACTAAGACAACATTCAATGACTACATAACTATTTTTAGGTTTCTTGAAACTGCAACCATAACTGTGTAGACTTGACTTAATTACTTATTACTTATAAGGTATACTATAAATATACAGTAAACTGTATTTTGACGCAGTGTCTTCTCTATATAAATAAAAAGTAGTAAAAAGTTTTTCTTTTATTTCGAACCGTCTTAAAGAACCTTTTTTGCGAAATAATTATGAATATTAATAAGTTTTATATATAACAATATATCATAATAAGTACCCCAAGAATTCATGAGTTTAAATCCATGTTGTATTAGGTATATTTTTTACCTATTCTCGTAGCTACTAAAGTAGTTATACATACATACATATAAGTCTCTTACACTTAACATTACAACTGAAAAATTTTCTGAAGCTTCACAATTTTAATAGACATGTTTGAAAAGTGTAATATTGATGAAATTATTATTGACATGAAAGCCATATTTAGAACAATTTATACACAACGAAAAGCTATTTATTTTAAAACTTAATACAATATCTCAACTTCGGTCAAAATTATGTTCTTTTACGCTAAAAATAATTTCACTTCAACATCAGCACAACTATGAATACACCAAACTAATATTTTTTTATTACCCATTCAAAATGTCATTTATTCGTTTAATATAATATGTAATGCTTTTATAACTTTGTTGGTGTGAAAATAGTACGATCATTTTCTTTAAACTAAACTAGCCAACCGTACTCTAGTAACACTGAAATAACACTTATCATTATTGCTTGTTAGTACTTAGTTGTTCATTTTGACGTTACTCGTTTTTAAAAGTAAATATGTAATAAATAAATATTTGATATATGATAATTATATGATTTCCGAGAGACGATGTCATTAGAAGACTTCAACGACAACCATCGCATATAATTTTACTTTAGAATTATTTAATTTATTGAAAAATGTAATAAAATTTACTCCTTTGTTATCGTTACTGGTAAAAATCACACGGTTTTGTAGAATTGTAGCCATTTTACATTTTGTTCATAGTTAAAGGTGAAGGTCGCTTTGGTATTGATTTTTAATTACATCCCCGTTTATCATAATTTACATCCTTTGTTTACTTTTTTAACGAGCAACAGACCTTAAACATATTACTTTCATAAAGGTTCTTCAGTAAATCAGGTCAACCTCTATAATAAAATAGTATTTTAAAGGTATATACTACATTAAGAAATAAATAACTTTGACCTATGAATATATTTTAAAGTTTATCGAGTTATTTATTTCAATGATGATCGAATTAGCCTCCGCAGCAAGCTCAACCAGTAATAATGTGCCGCTTAGAATTTATAATTTCCTTTTTTATGTATAGATATTTACTAATTCATCTGGCATACCTAACTACGAATGCTTTATGGGTTGCTATACACCCAAACATACACTAAAATATAGTTCAATCTTTAAAGAGCTTTACATACAGTTTGTTCGTAGATATTGATCTATGCCAATTTCTGGTTCACAACACTAAATACGATTGAAGTTTAGCTTAAACGCGAGAAATATAACTGCAATTTAAATAATTATAACTTTGATATTAATATTACTTATAAAGCAAAAGATAAACAAGTTTCATCACAAGAAAATATTGTACTCTTGACATGTTGGATAAATAAAAAACTTCTTTTGTGACAATAACATAAAAAAATTAATTCTCTGAATCCCTAATACAAATTAACAAAAAAGATTTTAAAAGTTAGCGTTAAAATAAATGATAAGGGGAATGAAATTCATTAACCGAGGTTTTTCTTCTCCTACTTTTTAATTTATACGAGGAGAGGAATAAATTCTCTAAAAAATATTTTATTAGATTAAAATATTCATAATAGGTACATAACATTATAATTTAGAATAGTTTTACTCCAATACATTGTTATTTTTCTTCTTATCGTAAAGTATGTAAACGGTATAAGATTTAATATTTTTCTGATAAGTTAAACCGATCTATAATCCTATTACTTGGGTTTATAAAATACACATATGAACTTCTAGGAATAATACAAATATGAATTTTGTGCCTCCAAAGTATTTAGTGAAATTAAATAATTCAAAAGAAATGTTATTCCTTATTTCTACATGACTATTATTGAATTATATATTGAATATTCTAAATTTCAATTTGTTCATCCTATATTCTTGGCCATTTACCGGTTTAATTTATTGTTATAAAATCGATATCATTACCATATCGATGTTAACAAGACGAAACAATTAATGATGGAATTTAAAGAGTTACGAGTACTTTATTTTGCATACATTTTCAGCAAACTACATACATTTTTTGAAAAATTATATTTTATTATCATTTTAAAATTTAAGACGGTGTATTATTAAAAACTTTTAATATGCATGTTAAAATGTAATGATTGTGTGGTGTAAGTTGGGTAAACAATGTACGTTTCTTATTTTTATGTTGAAAAATTAGTTTAATTAGTCATATTCTGAAAAAACATAAACAATTTACAAGTTCCGGAACAAAAGGTTAATCGCAAATACGCATTTACTTATTCCAAGTCAATATCTCAAATTTTATGTAAATTTTTATTTCTACAATTTTTAAATCCTCAAGTATGTATTATATGCTTAAATATTTTTTTCTTCTTTAATTTTAACAATGATTTTTCTTAAATTAAGTATAAATCATTTTTATTTATTAATGTATAAATGTATCTACGACAGTAAATACTTAAATTAAAAAGAACAAAATCGTTTCTGAACGAATATTTATGTCGAATATCAAACATCGATTTAGGTTCCGATATCTTAAGAGTAGTGTGAGAGACAATTAACTATTAAGCGCAGTCTTTGGCATTAAGCAGTGTGCCGCCGTGCGAGTAATACATGTCTTCTTGAACTTAAATGTCAACCAAACAAATATTAGCTAGAGTAAATGCAGTAAAAGTAAAAATATTAGAAGTCTAGTTTAAATTTAATTCTAATATTAAATAATTTTCTTTTTATTAATGTAGCCACAAGCATTTTCTTTTTGGTGTCAACAGTAATTTACAATGAGTGCCATGAATTCTGTTTGTTATGCCGGAGGCAGCAGTGACAGACTTATACATGAAGCAGATCAACTCATATCATATATAGAGCGTGGCTCTAGTGTTTTAAAGTTCTTCCCTCGTAAGCGACCAGAAAGACGGACTTTATCAGTCCGCCGGGAGACGTATCAAGTGATCTGGTTCAGACATGGAACGCCTCAAAGGCACGCATTTGAGGGAGCCCTCGACATCAGAGATATCAAAGAAGTTAGGGTCGGAAAATCTTCGAAGGACTTCGATCGGTGGCCAGATGAGACTAAGAGGTTGGAGAGCAGCAAATGTTTTACCATTTATTATGGAACTGAATTTAAACTGAGATCAGCATCATTTGCAGGTATGTAAACACATTTATAAGTCATAGCACAGGTCCAATAATAGAATTTTGCTCTAAACCTTTTAACACACCTATTTTCAAAGCCATCCTGGTGTTATGCTTTGTAAATCGGGCTATAAATCATTGCAATACATTGGGTTCTAAGTGTGTTTGAAAGATATTTATGTTTGTTTGACTTTCGCAGCTCAAACTGATAAAGATTGTGAAGCTTGGAAACAAGGCTTAAAGTTCCTTATAGATGAAGCTGTGAATGCTTCATATCCGTTGCTGATCGAGAGATGGCTGAGACGTGAATTTTATGCAATTGAAAATTCACATGAAAAGTAAGATTCAACAATATGAATGTGAATTAATGTACAAATAGTTTTAATTGCTAAAATCATCTTAATATATTACAGGATAACTCTAAAAGAAGTGAAAGCATTCCTTCCTAAGATCAATTGTAAGATTTCGACGAGCAAGCTGCGAGACATATTCCAAGAAGTTGATGCTGGAAAGAGAGGAGAGATTGGTTTTGATGACTTCTCTGTGCTTTATCACAAACTAATATATGATGAGAATGTAAGTAATGATTACTTGAGACATTTAATCCTTTAAAAACTGAGATGTGCTATGCCTATATTAATTTTATATTATAATGCATATGAAACATTTTTACATTAAGAGGTATTTTTTCACTTTTATAACTTGTCATTTATAACCATATTTTAAATTGCTAGTCGTGAAGTGCAAACCAAATTATTTTATAATTGGGAAGTTTTAATCCTGGATTATTATACAAATCAGGAGGAACAAGAAATGACAAAGTGTTATCAAAGCTTTGCTAATATTGATGAAACAGTGACTTAGAATATTTAGGAACAATGAGGTTTAAACAAATAGGTATTAAATACTAATGATGAGAAATTTTTCCAATCTCCAAAATTTTATTTAATAGCTTATTTCAAAATTAACTGAAACGCCTCATTCACATAAACTACTGATAGAATATATATTTCTATTTTATAAAAAAGCTTAAATTCAAAGTACAAATAGTATATAAGTTTAAAACAAATGGATAGAAAATATATTTTAACATGGTAGACATCATTCTCTAGGAAATTGTTCAAGATTGTTGATATATATATGTTTGATGTTATTAAGCAATTAATAAGGCTATGCAGTTGTCATATTATTGTATGATGTTTTGGTATTAATATGATATTTTTAAATTCTGTTTGTATTAATGGCTGATGCAAATTTTATAATGTATGGGATATTTATGGATTACAGTCATAATATTGAAAATGGTAAAATCAGCCTGTTTGCTTTGTTATACCTATTGATGTTCATACATTATCTTTAATTTATATATAATATTATATTAGGATTTTATTTATAACAGTATATTGAAATTTCCCAAAAAGTATTATAGATAAAAAGAGATTTCAGTTATTATTGTCCAAATTATTAAGTAATATATGTGTTATATGCACATTGTTATATTGAAAATAATATTGTTTAGGTAAATTATATTTAAATATATATATATATATACAGATACCGGCCTATGAAATTATCATTATGTAATATATGCAGAAAAAATATCACAGATGGGATCATGCTAATTATAAAACTTCATTCTCAAGATATTTACATACTAAGTCAATAATGTGGTGTGTTTTCTTTGAAATGTATCATGAACAACATTTCATTTGCTATGCGAACTGATTGTTTAATTGGAACCTGTATATTTTTATATCATTCCATCAAATACATATTACTTGGTCAGTTTTTTTAAACATATTACATAATAAACTAAAACAGGATAACACTTCTCGTTTATTTTTTACGGCTTAAGGTGAGACATTAAAAAAATGGGGCAGATTAAAATAAATTGCAATTTGTAATCCTGTTGTCAACTGAATATTGCCGTTCGTTCGGGATTACGTAGCTCATGCTAATTCGCTGCATACTATTATTTGAGACATAACGGATAAAAAATGTTAGCTTCAAATAATTCACTCTAGTATATCAAATTATAATTAATGCTGACGTTAAGAAATTTTGCTTTTAAAATTTTATGAAATATGTACATTAATATTACATGAACGAAATATCTTACTGTTTCAATTTGTATTATTAATAATGTATCTGTTATACATGTAGGTATTAAATTATGAATATTTTATCATTTTAAAACATAATATGTAAATATACCTCAATAATGATATATGTAAAGTATATTGAAGAAGTAAAAGTGTTTAAATATATTCTCATATCATAAATATCATCTCATATACATTCATAGGTATATAAGTAAGGACTCCAGTGTGAAGATATATTTAATATATCTCTCATAAAGATTGCAAGGCGGCTTATATATTTTGAATTTCAAGCGACTGCAACGATTTGGAAATTTGCTTGGTCGATGTGTAGCCAGCCTATTAAGACTATATCGTAATAACCATCCCATTGTATAGCGATTTGCTTTGTAAAAGTTGCTGATGTAGATGATATGGATTTAAACAAGACCAATGTTAAACATGCACATATTTTGTAATTGTTATAAATAAAAACGATTTTACTCATGTTTTTGGATTGAATCTCAACTACCAAAGAATATAATTTAAGATATATATTATGGTGAAGTGAAAACGGTTGACTGTAGTCTGTATAATTTATTTTATTTTCAGAGTGTACACGACCTTTTCGATAAGTATTCCCTGTATTGTACTAACGGCACCACGATCACGCTGAGGGACTTCCAGCGTTTCCTCGCCATCGAGCAACACGACCGTCTCGCTGAAGACGAGGCACAGGCATCCCAGTTCATCAGGGACTATCTTAAAGACCCCCAACGTGACATATCCGAACCTTACTTCACGCTCAACGAGGTTTTTTATTATTACAATAATATCCTTAATATATCACTGTACAAAGAAATGTTATAAACTTAATATTTATTTCCAGTTCATTGAAATGCTCTTTTCCAAACAAAACACGATCTGGGACAGTAAACACTCCAAAGTAACACAAGATATGACAAGACCCTTGTCACATTATTGGATAGCGTCGTCCCACAATACGTAAGTGTTTTAAATATGTTCAATTATTCATGAATTTAATCTTCAGACTCTATATATTGTTGATTTCAGATATTTAACCGGCGATCAGTTTTCAAGTGAATCATCTCTTGAGGCCTACGTGAGGTGTTTGAGAGCGGGTTGCCGCTGCATCGAACTAGACTGCTGGGATGGACCTGAAGGCATGCCTTTTATTTATCACGGCCACACGCTTACAACCAAGATAAAGTTCATGGACGTTCTTCGCACTATCAAGGAGCATGCTTTCGTTGTATCTGATTACCCGCTTATACTTTCCATCGAAGACAATTGCACTCTGCCCCAACAGAGGCGTATGGCCGCCGCCTTCCAGGAGGTTTTCGGGGACATGCTGGTAATACAACCTCTTGAGAAGAACGAAACCAAATTACCGTCACCGCAAGATTTACTCAAGAAAATTATACTTAAACATAAAAAGCTACCGGAGGGCGCCGAAGAGAATTCATTCGCTGTTCGCCAAGAGGAAGGACGTGATTTAGATCTCCGTAACACTATCAAGAACGGGATACTACATCTCGAGGATCCCGTGGACAAGGAGTGGAACCCGCACGCATTCGTGTTGACTGATACCAAACTGTACTATACGGAACACTACAGCACGCCTGGCGAAACAGAAGTCGACAGTGACGGGGAGACTGACACTGAGAATGGTTCCGTACCTCAAGACGAGCTGCACTTCGCAGAATGTTGGTTTCACGGCCGCCTGGCTGGGAACAGACAAGAAGCGGAGGACCTCCTGCGAGCCCACTCCCATCTCGGAGACGGTACATTCCTTGTGCGTGAGAGCGTCACATTCGTCGGCGACTATTGCCTATCCTTCTGGCGGCAGGATAAAGTTAACCACTGTAGGATAAAGTTGAAACAGGAACGAGGTACTACTAAGTACTACCTGATCGAATCAGTATGCTTCGACAGTCTTTACAGCCTGATAACTCACTACCGTCAGCATCCGTTACGGAGTCAGGTATGTATTATCATTCCAGATTAGTGTTGATTAACCACAATGTTGGATTCAGAATGTATTTTGTTGTTGGAAGCAGGAGTTCTTGATTACTCTGAAGGAGCCAGTACCACAGCCGACAAAGCACGAGGCCCAGGAGTGGTGGCAGGGTCAGTGTTCGCGAGCTCATGCCGAAGAGCTTCTACGCAGGGCTGCCACAGACGGAGCCTTCCTTGTGAGGCACAGCGAAAAGGAGGCTAACTCATATGCCATCAGCTTCAGGTTACACCATGATTATTATATTTAGTCTATATACCGAATGTTCATAAACATTTGCTATTTAATGTAAGCTGTAATAAACTGTTTTTGATTATTATTACTACAATAAAATAACCAAGTCTATATATGCAGGACTGGTCGTGAGATAAAGCACTGCAGAATCAGGAAGGAGGGCAGGTTATATACAATTGGTACGGTGAAGTTCGAGTCTTTAGTTGAACTTGTGAACTATTACGAGAAGAACGCTCTTTACAAGAAAGTTAAGCTGTGGTTCCCTATCAGCGATAAGATTGTACGCCGCATTGCTAATGTGAGTATAATCATGATAAAAACTTTATATTCAACTAGAGTCTTTATAAAATATATGATTTGAAATTATAAATATTATGAAGTTTTGTTATAATGTGATATTCTCAAAACTCTTAAATTAGATACGATAGCAGTAGTGTTTAACCATAAAAAATGTTAATACCACGTAAGATCATTTGTTCTATATTTATTCTCCAAACTACATACTATCTGTGACAACAAAAATACGTTACAAATGTGAAAAAAGGAACAAAAAAGACTCACTAATGCATTAATCATAATACTTGAAAAAAAGTATATAAAATCGGTTTAGAGAATTCTACTTGAAACCATTGTTCTAGTTAATAGAGCTAATTACAACACAATTAATAATACGTAACAATAACGAAGACGATCTTTAAATCAATCAATGAATCTTAATACATTATATTGTAGTACGTAAATAAAAATACCTAATTTATATCAGCTTGTTTGTGCTTTGACTCGTATGTATATCTGTACAGATATATACCTATACATACATCTACCAATACATATAATGTATTAACATTACTTTTTTGCAGTTCTATATTTTACATAATCTCTTAACCGTGACTTACGCTGTACTAAAATTATATGACGATTTCAATACCGTATACTAAATTTCATCACTCAAATAAATGTTGTCTATACATTTTACTTAAGAAACACTTTATAACATACTAGCTGCGCCCCGCGTTGTTACCCGCGGATTTCCGGGATGTAAAGTAGCCTATATGTTATTCCTAGACGTCCGCTTCCTGTATACAAAATTTTATCAAAATCGGTTCAGCCATTTGAGCGTGAAGAAGTAACAAACATACACACTCACAAACTTTCGCAATTATAATATTAGTAGGATTGATAAATAAAAGATAAACATTTGTTATGATTAAACAGGAGCCCGACGACAGTTCGGTGTACGGAACCCCCGGATACATGGACCCAACGACGTTCACCTCGAAGGTACCCTAATGTATTATATGATAATATAAACGCTTATTATCTGTAGTTACTAGGTTTGAAATCTTTAATATGTTCATGATTTATCACTCACATGAAAACTAGTGATATAGTATAGACTATAGACCATTTCATTCTCAGTAACTTCATACGGTAGTTCGTGGTTCATAAACAAGAGCTTAAAAATTATAAAGAAACTTTAATCTTCATATAACGTGATTTAAGGAAAAATATATAAATAATAGTGATTTAAAATCTTTTCTTTTTTATTATATAGTGGAAGCGACAAGGGTGAGATCCTGTAATCCATATATTGTACATATGATAGTGGTGTTTAGAAGCTTTCTGTTTTATTGAAAATAAGTAGAGAATCGCTTAAACAGTTTGACTGTATTCTGCATTGAGATTGAGCATTTACGACTTTGAGAATTTACTAATATCTGCCTGAAATAGCTATTTCGAGAATATAACGGTTGTTGCTACAGTCTCTTAGAAATATTATTGTGAATAAGAAAAGAGAAACTTTCTATTTAACTGCATATTTTATATATATCGAATGGACCAAATGTAAAATTTTTATCAAATCGGTTGACAGATTTAGGCATAAGGAGCAAAAGTGTAATGTTCCAAATTTTTTTTTTTATTAGTAAGAATTAAAGCATTTTATATTAGTAAGAATTAAAGCATTTACAAGCTTGTATACATTTTGCTTATGCTTACCGAGAAAAATGATAAATCAATTGGGACAGGGTCCTGCTAATTTATATGCCTTTAGCATAAAGTAAATTCGGCTTCCAATTATAGCTTAGCCTCATGAAAGTAAACATTTTCAGTGGGTAATTTTAAGCCTCTTATTTATATTCGAGTTTCTTTAAAAATAAAATATAAAAAACCACTGAACAAAATGAGAATTACAAGAGAAATAGATAGCGAAGCATGCTACAGATAACAGTGAAAGCGCTGTATGACTACCGAGCGAGGCAGGACGACGAGCTGTCATTCTGCAAGCACGCGATCATTAGCAATGTGGACAAGCCGGACGATGGCTGGTGGCGAGGAGACTACGGCGGCAAGAAACACCACTGGTTCCCCGCGAATTACGTACAAGAACTGGAACTGCCGCATGCCCCAGATATTGTAAGACACACACATTCACACAATCATACACTCGCACACATACTGATGCACCTTTATGTTACATTATGTTTAGTTTGCCTTGCACATTTCATATGTTTAAATGATACAAAGGCTTTTAAATGATAATATCAACACAGGGTCTGGAGAGTGAGAGCGCTGCATTAGGCTCTTTACAAAAGGGCGTCGTAGACGTACTCGGGGCCGTTGTTGAACTGGTAGTAGGCGAAGAAGGAGGGGCTCCAAGGTGGATTGTACGTGTACAAAGTCCTACCACCTGCGTTCCGTTCGATATGGCAGCTCCTACTCGCGAGAACGCTTTGGAATGGCTATCTGCGATTAAAGAGGCAGCTCAGAGCGCCAGCGCTAGGTCACTGATGCACCGCAAGATGGAGCGAACTTGGCGCATTGCCAAGGAAATATCCGACTTGATAGTGTATTGCCGGTCGGTGACATTCAATCAGGAACGTCTTCGCAACGGTGGCTTCATCTACAGCGAGATGTCCTCCTTCCCCGAGACTAAAGCGGAGCGCCTCATGTGTCAGCAAGAGAACAGCTTTTTCATGAAATACCACGCGGTGCAGCTCAGTCGCATCTACCCGAAAGGTCAGAGGATCGACTCCTCTAACTACAATCCGGTGCCATTCTGGAACGCTGGCTCACAGCTAGTGGCGTTGAACTATCAGACGCCGGACAAGCCGATGCAACTGAACATGGGCAAGTTCAGAGAGAACGGTGGTTGTGGATACGTTCTGAAGCCGAGCTATATGCTTGAAGCCGGGGCTCGCGCTCGGTCGCCCGTCTCCATTCTGTTGCGTCTTATTGGCGCGAGACATCTCTGCAAGTCTGGTCGTGGCACCGCTAGCCCGTTTGTAGAAGTGGAAATCATCGGTGCTGAACATGATAGCGGGGTTAAGCTTGTCACAAAAACAGTCAGTAAGTAAAAGCCTTAAGATATTCTGATATTAAATTTATATGTTGAGAAAGTGTGCCAGCTGAATCCAAAAATTGTTATTAATTTAAAAAGGCTTATAAACGGAAAATCTCATTGTTACTCTGAATAGGAATCGAACATAGTGAATAAAAATATGTAATTCTACTACATTGATCATAATTAATATTTATTTATTAAATTCTATGTTAATTTTCAGCTGATAACGGCATAAATCCAATTTGGAACGACATCTGCGAATTCGAGGTTTCGAACCCGGAGTTGGCTCTTATACGGTTCTTGGTGCAAGACGAAGACATGTTCGGGGACCCTAATTTCATGGGTCAGGCCACCTTCCCCCTGCGATGCCTTCGCCCCGGATATCGAAGTGTAGCCCTCACCAACGGATACTCTGAGGAATTGGAGCTATCATCGCTCCTGGTTCACTTGTCATACATACATCGCTAAAATATCCCGCAGCTATACTGGCAGCTTACTTTTAATGATTCCTCGATCCATACAAAATCTACTGACGAATGATGTCTTGTGGAATTGGAACTTCACACCAGCATCACACAATCATTACACATGATTGTCATTAGATTACCGATATAGGCAATATGTGTGCCAAATTATAATCTTCGAATCATTCTTCAGCGCTTCTGAATTATTAGCATTTTATTGTATTTAATAATTATTAAGAAAAATAATTATTTTTTCGTGAATGTTATGAGCTTGCAATAATGGAATTTTTAAGACTGTTCTACCTCCTGTATGAGACTATACAGAAGCTTTACTGTTGACTTTTTTTTTATATTTTAAACTTGACTGACATTTTCAACTTGCTGTTTTTAAATCACGTTATCGAAACGACATTTTTGTTCGCTATATATATTTTTTGTATACATTTATTATACATACAATTGTAATACTAAGTACAATTGCTTTAGAAATATTTTTGTTTAGCGAGCTATTTGACTGCGAAGCTTCGTGAGATATTTAACAGAATCAAAACTATAGGTTATTATGTATATACTCACATGTTATTAAAGAAAACATTACATGTATTTGCCTCGAACGCTTCAATTTATTAAAACTGTTTTTTTTTTCAACTGTTCAGGAACTCTGTAATGTAATGTCAAGATGACATTTGTTTGCTTGCTTTAACACAAGAATATGTAGTTTATAAGATTTAATAAGAATTTCATTATTATATTGAACTGAATGAAAAATGATCACATTTAGTAAAGTAATATTGATGATTATGAATTTAATATAGATTCAAAATAATAATATTTTATATAGGAACTATTGTACTTCTTATAGAAATATTTATATAATAAAAAAAACCATGTTTTTAAAGGAAACTAGATTGATGTTTGCACGTTCGAAATGTTATACATAAAAAATTATGAACATACATAAGGTATATGTAGTTGTTTTAAATATCTCCGATTCTATTAGAGTTTTAGAAGAGTATTTTTAAATTTTAAGTAGAGCTTGGCTCGTTTAGTATTAATGGTGTTATAGCCTTTGTAATTTAGCAATGCAATGTATATGGCAGGTGGTGGTCTGTTAAACGGTTCTACTAATAAGATATAATGTTAAAGAGACTTAGTTCCGACAGTGTGTTCTCAAATCCAGTTAATAAACTTTAATACTTATATTTTTCACGTTATCTATACGTAATATCGTTGACTTAATATGGAATACTTTCAGTATATTCCACTTTACCAACATCAGTTCTCATCTACTCTCCTATCATCTATATGTTATAAAATATGTACACCCTCTATGTAAACTTGTACTAAGATCGACATATATATACTTAAATGAAAATATTGCAATTCCATTTTGACTTTTCAAATTAAAAATTACATGAATGTGACGTATGAATTTATGTATCGAATAGCTAATAATATTTTCCGCAGGTTTATTCTAGTCACAGTTAATAAAAATATGCTTATTACAAGTTTGAATCGCCACATTACAAACGTAGCGTTTTACGTTTCTCTAACAATAATCCAAATTAATACTATGAAGTGATTTAATGTGACGACGTAAACTTGGGGTGAGCATATAAATCCTTAATAGTCTGAACTTTATTACGCACACGTGGTATGTGGATTACTTAGAAACATAAGATTAATAAACAATTTTATATAATAATTAATGTATGATATATATGCCCGGCAATGGTTGTGACGGCTCTGACATGTCGATTGTAGCCAGGATTAATATTAAAATATCGATGAGTTTTGTCCTAAAGAAAATTGTGTAGCTATTTGTGACAGCATCTGTTTATGAATTTTTCGCTTCCATTAGTCTTTACGTGAATAGTTATCTCGATATACAGACTCTTTGCTGAATATATTAAATGATGTTTTTAAAAAGATCTTGATGTATATCTCATAGTAAGTAAGTTTATTTTTTTTACTATATATGACAATTTATTCTAAAGTTATACTTCTACATGTTATACTTGCATTTATTATAGTGTTTTATAGTAAATTGCTGATATTATACTTACTATCCCTTTAATAATAAATAAAATTTTAATGTGAACGTTGTTTTATTTAATATTTAAATTAGTCGTGCAATCTAAATTAGCTTATATGTAGGGTTTCATGCAAAATTCATTGAGTTTGTGGTTGAATTTAAATTTAATTAATTTTTAGTATTAATATATGATCAAGTCGGAATTTCTAGAAAAACTTCATTTTTGTATACTAGTCAATTTATATTTTTTACTATTTTAGTTAACTGACTTAATTGATTATATATCGCGGTTAATGTATTTAACATTAAAATAAAATAGGTACAAATAAAACTTCTGACTAACTTACAACTTTAATAATTTAGCTATCAAAAAAATATTAACTGAAGTAGCATACTATAGCAAGCCTTTATTAATAGTCTACAAATTAGGTAGTTAACCGTAAAGGTTCTTATCATCTAGTCTATTGTTTAATATTATTTCGCAAAATTTACAAAATATTTCCTTTTTAAACTTAGACTTTTCTTTCCCTAGTTTTTAATGGTGCATAGATATTGTAAAACGCAATATAACTTTAACTTTGAAAATTATGTTTATAGATAGGAGTTTAATCTAATTAAATAAAGAAAGAGACTCATAAAAATAAAACGAAGGTAAATTCTATTTAAATCAATCTTCAATTTACTTCTCCTTAAATATTAAGAAAATCTGTAAGTAATTGATTTGTAGGTGAAGATATTGACACATCTAAAATTTAACTACAAAAATAATTTTTATCCATAAGAAATTTAATGAATATTTATCTATATCCTGGTAGGATGGCAACATTTTACGTCATTTTTTTAACATTTATCTGTGACGTCCTCACGCGGAGTTATTTATCTACCGGAGATAATTTATTTTATTAAATTGATTTTTCATTGTTTGATTCATAGCGTTTTAATTACTTTAAAAATTATCAAAAGGAAACATTAATCGATATAGTATATTCACGTAATACAAAAATGTTAAATGTTCGTTTTACAACAATTCAATGGCCGTATGAAACAAGTGTCAAAAACAAGTGTTTTACCGTGCGGGGACTATAGGCTGAAATGTTTCTTTTCAATAATGTCGCTATGAACACTTTTCACAGGAGAAGATATTTCCAATTGTCTTTCCTTATTGTTAGCTTTTATTTACCTTTAACAAATGGTAAGTGTTCCCTCACAGTTTTGACGTAGCTATAAATTTAGATATATAATTTATTAGTATCACCTAGGCTTGCTAAATGCGATAGATGTATCTCGAGAATGTTTAATTAGAAGGTACTTAGGTCAATCATGTGTCTCTATCAACAAATTATTGAAAAGTATTAATAGGATTGATATAGTTCACTATCAATACTGTATTATCTGTTTTGATATTATTATTATACTAAGCTATGCAAATAATATGCTAACTATTTTTTATTGTTTCTAATAAGTTGTGCATAATAACAATTCAATTGTGATTTTGTATTTATTGTTCATGCAATGGCAATTACCAAGGTATTAAAACATTAAAAACATCCATGGTTGTGACAGGATTGAAATGTTACTGTAACAGTGACAGTCCAAGCTGCCCAAACTCCACCTGTGAGACAGATGGCTTCTGTATGGCATCTACCAGCATTGAGAATGGTGAACACAAGCGCACCTACCAGTGAGTATCAACAATCATACAATATTTGTGTTACAAAATTTTAGAGGATGGCTGTACCTTTTACAAATGTGAAGGTAATAATATCCTCAATATTGCCTTATTTTTGAACAAAACATTTCCACTAACCACAATTGTAAAAAGCACAGCACATTAAGTAGTTAATATTCTGAGGTACATATTTTATGTAGGGTATAAATTGGCAAATAATCAACACAAGTTTAAATAATAATTAGTTTCCTGGCTTTTGGGATGATTTTAACCGACTTATGTCACACATTGACCTGTGTAGAGTGGTGGCCTTAAGCTGTTTGCAAAGCAATGCATTCCCACCAGAGAATCCAATCAAATGCAAAAACCCGAGAACCTTTTGCTGTAAAAATGATTTCTGCAACTCTGATGAGGTTTACCAAGAGAGATTAACAAAAGTGCTCAATGCCTCAAGCTCAGCCTCTGGTAAGGGATGCTCACGCACTTGTGGCGTGTATACAAACTGATCTTTCAGAATATGAACTTGTTTGATGTATTCTTATGATATAGTGCCTTGCCAATTGATTTATAAGTTTTGTGTTGATGCCAATATTCTAACACATCTGCTTCTGAGTTAGTGATTTGAATATGTACCTAATAAGCGGCACACTCTGGCATATAATCAGTATGTTTGAATGATGTGCTGTTATCTTAACAAACACTATTTTCCGAGTGTGCATTGGTTTTGCTTTAACATACTAAACATGATGTATGGTGGTTCCACCCGCGGCAGTTGTATCGAGCTGAAAGCACTGATACCCATCGAGCACCCCTTCGGTTGCTCCACAACGAAAACTAGAAATGAATCGGTGGTGATACAATGTTGTGAATCGTATAACATGTGCAACCGCGACCTCATCTTGGAAACACACACGAAGCCGCCAGGTAGGCCCGCGGTAGCTCTCAGCGCACTCGCTTGCTCAATCAGCAGTCGGCGCACTCTGCATGCTTCTTCGCCTATTTGTTCTAATATACTAAAGATTATTTTCCCATCTAGACCGGCATTGATCACGACGTATCGCGTATTAGTTCCGTCCGACTAATGTTCCCTTTGTGGTGTAGATGTTGGCACTCCGAAACCATTTTCCCACCTGGGGACATACCTATATGGTGCCGTGAAGCTGACACGATGAAAAATATTATCTGCTGCTCTATGGACTACTGTAACCGTCACTTCTTTCCAGGTATGGAAATGTAAGAATGTGTCGTCAGGGCGTCTATTGGGCAGCTTGTATTGTGATGTCCTAAGCATACCCCGAATGTTCTTTTGCTGGAAGTCATTTGCGATCATGGCATCCTATGATGTTAAGGCATCAATAAATATGTTGTATTTCAGATGGTCTATAATGCATGAATTCATTAAACTTCAAGTACTTAAAATAAATACAATTCGTTTGTCATATCTGCATAACTTTAATTGTATCAAAAGGTAGTGTTTACATGGTCTATGAGCTGTGAAAGAGGATCATTTTGATTGAATCTAAAGCGTTCAGCACATTTTATAACTACAGGATTGTAGTAGACACACACTGGGAGATATCAGCACTAGGAATCCGGCGACTACGGACTAGTTACTTATAATTTCAAAAGCAGCCGTAGACGTAACGTGAGTGATCATAAGCCGGAATTGCTATTGTTATTTAAGCATGACCTTAGTTTGTACTAATCGCATGTTATTTTCCATTAGTATTATGTTCTATGATATTTAAATGTTGATCAGTTTTTGAAAGGCGAGGGGTTATCAGATGTGATACATTCATGGTTTTAATGTCTCTCTAAACAATTATTAGTCATACATGTGACAGTCGCTAAAACGCTCAGCGATATCATTATATCATGGTAGACTTATTTGTTGTGAAATAAAATTAAATTCACGCACGGGAAAATGGAATTCCTAATTATTATTTATTATTCATTTATCATATGATTATTACTATTGTTTGCTTGCGTTTTTAAGCTACAATAACATTTATTTATACGCTTATGCATGTCATGTTGGTTTTTTTAAGTTTTCATTTTGAATATGTTGGTGCTTTATGTGTTTGATGTTTTACTTGTGTTACTTATTAAGACTTGTTTTACGTACGTAACTTACAATAAAAGTATATTATGAACTTCTGTAAGACTTTCACAAGGAAGCCAAAGTCATAGTCTTGAACTGAAAACAATAATCATTCAATAGCTAATTTATTTATGAAGCTATAATTCTGTATACATTTTATTATTGAGAATGATTTCGTCGTTTTGAACTTATCTTATTGGACAATCAGATGTGTGTGTTTCAATTAGATATTCGCACGGTCCTACGGACTTGAGAATCGTTTCTATTTTAAATTAAACCATCTAAAGTGGCGTAGAGTAGTTTAAAATATGTTTGGGGGTGAAGAGGCGAGTTCTATGACGACGGCATGGCAAGTGGTGTTGTGGATCATGGTGCTGGTGGTGCTGGGAGTGTGTGGAGCTATCAGTCTATGGTGGGCGAAGCGCGCTCCTAAGACCATCAAGAGAGAGAACCGCTCACTCTTCGCGCCCGACGACTCTTTCTGCGACACACGCCATCCGATGATGACTGCCACCATCAGGGACATGATAGAACTTACCACCTCTGGTTCCGGTTCAGGTGAGTTATAAAACTTTGTGATATTTCACTTCATAATAATTATTCATCAGTTACGAATCAGTTAATCTGTAAAGTTTTGACGAGTACACATTTAAGTAAAACTATATTTATAGGATTTGACTCGTTTTGGTTACTTTATCTGTTCTATGTTCCCTTACCCTTTTAATGATTCTTCTATTCGTTGGTCTAATGACTATCCTCCGTAATAATAAACTTCATTTTTTTATGTAAAATAAAAACATGAGTCACATCCGCAGTATATAGTTTGAGTTGAATCTTTAGGGTTTGAATTGGATGCTCATTCCTAGTTAACACCGGTGCTCCATATCTGTATATTTGTCCAGGGTTACCACTGCTCGTTCAACGGTCCATAGCTCGTCAGATCCAGCTAGTTGACATAATTGGTAAGGGTCGTTTTGGGGAAGTGTGGCGGGGTAGATGGAGGGGCGAGAATGTCGCCGTGAAGATATTCTCATCCCGTGAAGAGTGTTCCTGGTTCAGGGAGGCGGAGATCTATCAGACCGTGATGCTGCGACACGAGAATATACTAGGGTTCATCGCAGCTGATAATAAGGGTAAGATTACAATGATAATATACATACATATAATATTATTTATTTTTTTAGTTTAATTTACATACTTGTAATCCGAAGGATAAAAAATGCACCCTATAGTAATACTTAATACAAGTGTTGAATACTGACTTTTTGCCCTTTCTGTACATTGCTGACGGACTGAACTGACAAATATTTTCAGACAACGGCACCTGGACTCAACTATGGCTGATAACAGATTATCATGAGAACGGGTCCTTGTTCGACTTCCTAAGTGTTCGAACCATCGATGCAGCAACGCTTGTTAAAATGGCTCTATCCATCGCTACCGGATTGGCCCATCTCCACATGGACATTGTTGGCACTAAAGGTTAATATTATATTAAATCGTATTACAATATAATAATTAATAAAACAATACTTGTTATAAATTTTTGTTGTATATGTTTTCGTTATTTCAGCGAAATATAACAGTCTGTGGATGCAACTTTCTTATTTGGAAGGGAGTTAGCTATGAAAACGGTTTTTATTTAAATCATATTGCAGGCAAGCCAGCTATAGCCCACCGTGACCTAAAGTCCAAGAACATTCTGGTGAAGGCTAACTTGAGCTGCGTTATCGGAGACTTGGGGTTAGCTGTTAGGCACAACGTCGCTGGTGATTCTGTGGATGTCCCATCAACTAACCGAGTGGGAACAAAGAGATATATGGCGCCAGAGGTAATTAATACGTAACAAAAGATACTCACTTTTCACGTTTAAGGTCCCTGATCGTTAATATAATCACCCTCCACCAACAATAGCCAATCCACTGATGACATACTTCTCCCATAGCGTGTCATTAGTCTCGATATCTAATCTTTCCCCGCCACTTTACGTATTTCATCACTCTACTTAAATACAGCTCCTACACTATGCTCCTTATATTCTTCAAATACTCGTTGCGACTTATTGCTAGAAATTTCCGTATACTATAAGTGTTTGAATGCGTATCTAAACAAACAAGTTATACATGTACATGAGGTTAAATCGTTAAACAATTCCAGGTGTTGGATGAGAGTATGGACGGCCGTCAGTTCGATCCGTACAAGCGTTCGGACGTGTACTCCCTGGGATTAGTATTGTGGGAGATGGCGCGGCGTTGTGGTGCGCTACCAGATGAGTACCAACCTCCATACTACGACCTGGTGCCACCGGATCCAGCCCTCGAAGATATGAGGAGGGTCGTGTGTATCGAGAAGAGGCGACCGGTGCTACCTAACAGGTGGCATTCTGATCCAGTGAGTGCGAGTAACGAAATTTCTGAGTTACCATATAACTATATATTTCATAATTTCAATTAGGAATAGGCTTTTTTTTCATAGCATGGTCTTAACCTACTTTTTTGCTTAAATTGTGAACCATGATATGCAAGGGTGGCATTTTTATTATGATAAAACTCTAGGTTTTGTCCGCGATATCGAAGGTGATGAAGGAATGCTGGTACCAGAACCCCGCGGCCAGACTGACAGCTCTTCGTATCAAGAAGACCCTCGCAAACATCGCCACTACCGACCACATGAAACTTTAACCACCACATATACCACCGCGCAGTCACATGACGATCATCGATTTTGGATCTTGTTAAAATGCTACATTTCCTCGTTATTTTTATTCTATATAATGATTCCAGATCGATTTTTACATGTTGAAAATTTGTTGTTATTCCTACCTGATAGGTATTTGATGTTGGTATACGGTCAGACACCGCTTCACACGGCCATACTCTGTTGCTATCGGACACGTTCGTCACAGGGTTTTATTAGTCAGGTAACATAAGTTTTAAGTACCTACACTAAACCAACGAAATTGTACAGTTTTATTTAAATATTGATGTATTATAATAACCGAATATATTAAAATTAATTTCTATATAACTAAATTGGTATATAGTAAATTATTAGTCATAAAAAATGCTCTAAATTTGGGTACCTTTGTCATTGATATTTGATGGGACTGTTTGCTTGTATTCAAATGAATTTATGGGGGAGTATGGGCGAGTGAGGTGGGTTGAGTGTGGTGTCGTACACGAGCACGTACGTACGTTTTTGCGTGCTCGGATGCGTATTTAAGTTTGCGTTCGTGCTCGCGTGCTTTACTTACCATGTATACCGATCCTACCTCTTAGATAATATTCGATATCAGAAGGAGCATTTATTATAACAAGTTATTGTAATAGATCGTAGTGATACATTTTTTTTTTTCGTTACCAAGTACATTGTGTTAATATATTGTTAAGTATCAATTCCGCTTATTTATATTATTGCTTATTATTTCATAATTTATTTGGCTCTTTATTCGGATGTGGTTTCGTACAGTATGTATAAATATATTTTATTTGTTTAAAGTTTTAGTTACACGGTAGATAAGGTTATAGGACTCTTGTTATTTAAAGTCATCTGGCCCGCGCTCGACCGAAGTCTGTGTAAATACTTGTTAATTAATAATAATAATATCTTAATATTCTTTAAGGACGTTGGTTTTAAATTGTATAGCGCAGTCAACGTGTCCGCTCGCCCACGGGATACGCTTGTTATTTCGTAATTAAGACAATTTAAGAGTCAAATTAAACATTTTGTCTACTTAAGAGTTGATATATTTGAGTAAATTCTATGAAAATTATATTATTTAATCGACATTGAAAAAAATTGTTACCCTATGTCACCCGTGGAGCGCGTGACACAGTCGTGTTTACCTGTCGACAGTAAAATATATAGAGAAAACGTTTATCACCGAGATGGCCATATTTTCTTACTTGTTTGATAACAGTTTTTTTTTAAATGAAATGTAATGTATTTTAAATTTGTAATTACAAATGATTTAGTATATACGATTTAATTAATGATAAGGATTTTTTATAAACTAGTAGTTTTGAAAAGGTTATTCTATATTTTTTCCTCTAGTATATAGGTGAGTATTAATTTATTTCATGACTCGTTAAGGAATATTCAACAACGATATATATATGTATCAAAATCTGTCCGGTTGATTAAAGTATCAGGGACAGAGGCGTCTGAGCCGGTGTAAGAATTTATTATTCCAACGCCCTCAAAACGCAGTCAATAGGTTAACATGACAAGAAAAATAAGGTCAACGGCCCCAAAAAAAAGGTAATCGTAAAAACTTGATTTACATGTAAATCAGTCAAATGGCCAGTCATTTTGTAAAGAGTATTTTTTATTTAAATTTTTTGTTGAGTTGTTGAAGGATAAGTAACTAAGAGCAACTCAAAGTGCGCTTACGCTTGCTTTGCTATACTCGACACTTGAGAAGAGCTTCGGATTAAATACAATAAGTATGAAAAGTATAAACCAGAGCTCTTTCTTATTGGCTTGCGATGCACTCTGCACTATAGGTAAGGACGCCTCTGTATCAGGACACAACCCGTTATCCTACATCGAGCAGTGAACGTTACACGATAGACTGATTTTAGTAGAATGAATAGTAGCAGCAATATAGATTATTTAGTTTTTTCCACTTATCTGCTGAATCACGAGTTACATATTATGTTTTAGTTGTATATACGTACTGAATGACACTTGTACATTTTTATTCCGATCACGCAATGTATTTAGCCAATGCGTTATATAATTTCCATATTAACATTTTATGTAAGCTGTATACCTAGTACGATTATTTGGCGTCAACCTAAAAACGTAAGTTTCACGGTTATCCATTAGTGAATGTTCGATGGAAACACAATAGAACTAAAGGTACTGTCGTTACAAACTCGTACTAGGCTCACAGATACCGAGTGTTTTCACTCAATATCAATATAGTTAAAATGTTATGTTCTCGACAATCCTGCTTTTAAATTCGGTCTATACAAATAACCTATTTTTACTAAATTTCAAAATTCTATTTTAATAATACTTACAAACTTTTTGATATTTGAATATGATGTCATAGGTACTGATGCAGAACTTAAAACTAGTTTTTGGGAAAATATTTAATATTATTAAATTATAAATAGATCGCAATAGTACAGTGAGTCATACTTGTCTTCCAATAACGACGTTATTTACGATATTCGAGAATCGATTCTACAATAGATTGACCTCCCGGTAGCTATTATTGAGAGTAGTGTAGAATTTGGTGTCTTATAGAGTTTAAACAGCAAAACATAAAATATGAATATTATTATATTATATATATAACATGATATACCTGAAATGAACAATTAAGCAATATGAATTTTAGTGATAGTGATTATCTAGTAAATTGTTTGTTGAGTGCCTGCTAGTGTGCGTTCTGATGTCACATGCACCACCATCATTTGATACGTGCTGTAGATATTTTGCGTATATATATGTATGTTATTGTATTATTATGATTAATTAGTTTAAGTTTTAATTATATGTTTCATTGTCGCTTTACGCCTTTACATTTAAGTGAATTAATTCGATTTTACGAATTTGTAGCCGAACATTGACACAACAGACTGTTACATTATAACATACACGTAGCTGCATCTGATTATGGTTTTGTGTTCATTATATCATAAACAACATTTACACTAGTCTTATAATGAAATACAGAATGTTATTAGATAGACATTGTTACGATATTATAAATATTTGAAGATGTTTACATAACCATTATTACGTATGAATTCAACCAAGTTTCAAAAGTGTTCAGTGAATAGATAAACATAATATATTTTTGTTAAACAATTAAGGCATCTTCCGATTTGATTATGTTTTGATGTGAAAAACTTTTAAAGGACATTTTAAAAATCTCATACATAAATATTTGACGTTACTAATGTATTCAATTGTTTATCTTTTTAATAAATACTTTGGTAACTTGGTTTAATTCTTGTAGGTACATAAAAAATGTGTACGATCTCGTTGATTACTATTGGTTTAATATATGAATAAATATATCGCGCTAATAACAAGAGCTTGAGCCGGTACCTAGTAATTATATCGAGACACTTAGAGCCCGTTATACATTTTTGGTTTATAGTAATTGCTTACAACATTTTTTGCACTTAGCTTTATAGAATAGTTCAATTCATATGATAAAATAAAATGCCACCACATTTTTTATAATATAAAAAATATTTTATTGAGTGATAATTATTCTAATTAGTAAAGTAGAAATTCGCTAAGCTTATTAATTTATATATAATATGTAGAAGTATTAGTGCAGTTGGGAAGTCTTATGGGATTATCCAATGATGTAAATCTAAATTAGAAGTTATAGTTATATTTTCGTTTTAACAAGCTAAATATTAGCCTAATTATAGTTATTTCATTGCTTGGAGGCAAAAGATTAAGCGAGTCAAAAATATATATATTGACCCTTAAGCAATACCAGAGTACAATTGCAAATAGCAATAAATAAAAGAAAAATGGAACAGCGTCATATCACAGACTGATTGGGATTATGCTAATGGGAAGTAATTTTTATGTACCTACCTACCATTATTGAACTATTGCATTGCATAAGATTTATAAATTGTTTATGGAGTGGTCTAATTAATTTAATGAATAAAAAGTGTTTTTTAAAATGTATTTTTTCTTAGTATTTATAAATTTCTCCCTTAATTAAGTACATTATGAATGGACTTAACAATACTATGAATACCAATGTGTATCAAAAAGGATACAAATTATAGTGACTTTATATATCACTACACCTCTGCTTTGATACAACTCAAAAATACAAGAAATTTGTACATCAGTTTAAAAAGAATTTAATAAATTCTTTGAACACTTATTTTGTTCAGTAAGAGAATCCCTAGTTTAATCACACCGGTAATGACCTAGTTTAAAATCATGCTGGTAGATTATAACTTTGTAAGCAATTCTGTTGAAGGTAATTCAGTAATAAAGAAACATCTGTAATGTAAGGCCAGTTTGTTGAAAATAAAAGCCAAATAGTTTTAAAAATATATTTGTATACACATACATTCATAATGTTTTAAAATCTTCAGCTCATTATAAGTCTATAACATCTAATGATGATTGAATTCATTTGTGCTAATAGAATAGGGTTAAAAAATAATAAAAAATGTAATTATTTACCTTAAATCTAAACATTAAATAACTAAGTAGATTAAAATCAGACATAATTGGACGGAAAGTTGCAAATTAAGATTATTTTTAAGCATAGGATACTTTTTGCTCATATGCTTCTTCATGCCAGCACTCCTGATCAGCAAAGGTGGAGTGCCGGAGCTTACACCAGCGTGCCCCAAATCTTAGAATAAGTATGATAACCATGAGGACAAACAGAGAGAGGATGGCTATAGCGGGATATATCATTAAGAATGCCATTTTATATGTCACTCTCCTTCTTATGAAGTTCTAGATATTCTTGTGATGTGGTAAGTGGTTGCTGTGATATAGATTGCCTCACTTCGTGATGCACTTCTTGATAATCCTCAGTGTGATAAGGATGCACGTACTCCACTGGCTGGTATTGACTCTCTAGTTCAGTAAAGTCAAGAGGTGGTTGTTTGTGGGGTGTCGCCGACCATATAGATACCAGCCACCTGTTACCTATAAATTTTAAAAGTAAGAATTTGCATGTCATAATTTTATAATGTAAGCAATATGAACTTAACTTAGCACCAGCTTACCAGTATGCCGATCGAGCCAATAGTCAGAGTAGCGCGAACAACAGCAAACAAAATTGATGACAAGCAGCGAGCCCAAGATGACAGAGCAGATAGCTATCGTGATATAGAAAGGAGTGAAATCCCCCACTTTAGACAGAATGGGATTTATAGACTTGAATGTCCCGTTGCCTGTAAAGTAAGCGTTTGATTCATATGCCGACATTTTCGTATTAGAACCTGTCGAAGAAAAAAATGCTTCAGGAATTTATGTTCAAAGCATGTTTTACTGTAACAAACACGCTTACTTTATAATTCTATTAATTTTGCATATTATTTCATTCATCGAAAAAACCAAAATACGTTAAGGGCGTGGTAAACAATGTTATAACAGTAAATGAAATGTTTAGCCATAAAAGTATTTAAAGAATGAAATATAGAAGTTTTATTTAGAAAATAACACTATTTTAATTCAAATAATACAATCATTACCTTATATTCAAAATCAAAATATAATCCGCTTCGCCTTCAGTTATCAAGTATTGGGAACAGAAAATTAAATTGTTTGGTGATTGGTTATGGTAAATGGCAATAGACAACAAAGAGGTACCGTAAAATATTTAAGTTAAATAAAAATTGTGGAACGGATAGATAGAAATTACAGTTCATAACTTAACATTTGTTTCGTTTATTATAATACAATATTAAAAAGTATAGAATTTAAATAATTTTTATGCGAAAATTCTAAAACTCTTTACATAACATTCCGTTTTTAAATCTCACATTACATAAAATTTCCTGTTTGGGACAGTTTAATATATAAATATTTTTCCGACACACACATTTTTTAAAAATTTGAACTAAAAACTAAAAAGTCAGCAGCAGTATTTTAGCCCTATATCCTCTCATACTTCAATTGAATTTATTAAAATCGTAGATAGGTATTATATTCATGTTGATAATGATACGAAGAAATGACTTAAGAGGGGATAAATACCTATATAGACTAAGGAATTAATAGAAGCTGACTTTTCAGGTGGTCCATTTTCATATTATACCTACTAATTTTAAATACCTAAACAAAAATACTTATAACTATGTATTTTGTTTTGGGAAGAATGTTAAAGAAAAAGAAGAAGAATATATAGAGAATATATATTAAAAGAAGAATATCCAAGGTGATCATCCAGTTTGGCATCTTTAAGACCGTTTTGAATATCCACTTGATTTTGACAAGATAAAAATTGCCTTAATTGTAAGATTATTCACTTTTCCGTCATCATCATCATGATAGACATAATATATAAATATATATATATTTATATGTATATATAAATATGGCCTTCAAGAATTTATTTTTCTGCTGTTTATAGTTGACTTGTAAGATACCAAAGTGTTTGTTTCTTATTCAGTCATATAAGGTGATGCCAGCTTCATTATACAAATGAAAGAAGTGGCTTAGGATTTTCCATAACACTTTAATTTTTTAAAGGTTGTACATTAGGTGAGTTACAGTTCTTTGACCATTATTCTTGTAATTTTTCCCTAGTATTATTTGTAACGAATGCCTGATGTTTGAAACTATCGACATCATCGTTAGAGGTGTTTCGCTTAAGCTTAATCCTTATAATAATTATTATTTGTAATGTAAATATTTTCTATTAAAAAATGATTTCACTTATAATGAATATCAGAACCATCGTGTGATATTTTGTTATAACTTCATTTTTAAACTTTTGATTTTACTTTACAAAAAATATTTTAGTCTTGTTATGTTAATTCATCACTTATATTAACTTTTTAAAACTTTATTGCAAAGAAAATCACGATTTCTTGAGTTTATATATGAGTAAGTTACAAAATATCGAAAAATTTGGTGTCAAATTTGAAACATATACCAATAAATTAGAGTTAGGAACACAGCTACTTATATTTTGTTTTTATTCTGTCAACTGAATTCTGTTAATCTACATTGAATGACAACTGACAGTTTTACCATTTCCTGAATACACAAATTTTGGCATTAGTACATAGATCTTTTGAAAGTTGAAACAACGTTGCAGAGGAGAGAGGCGTCTAGACTTTAGAGGAAGGAGTGGCTGGCGCCAGTCAACAATATCGTCGTCTGACCTGCCTCAAAAATTGTGAGACGATATGTTTTTTCTAATTGGTCCTTAGCGTCTTTAGTAAATAAGCAACTATGGAAATTTATCGTCGCTGATCGTAAAGAAGTTATTAAATTTATAAGAGCTTTTAATAACTTCTGTGTTTCAACTTCAACGTGCTCCAATATTTATTATTTTTGCGTTAAAAATGTTATCCAATAAACGTCTGGTGGCTTCATGTGCATTAGTTTTATGTCTGAATATTACCTTGTTAGTACTCTTTGCAAAGTACAATGTTGGAGACAAATGCTACATAACAATAAACGAGCATCAGAAAGTGCTAGCGGTGTTGCCTGACAATTTTTTAAGTTTTGGCATTGATGCATCTGAAATACAGGATTATGATAAAGTTGATTTTACAAGTATTCGATTAAGAGAACTAGCTTCAGCTCTTGGCCCGGCAAGATTACGTTTGGGAGGTACAATGTCTGATAGATTAATTTTCAGTGCTGAAGACATACCTTCAGTCTCATGTGATCACTGTCTGGTATCAAGTCACAATGAAACTGCCTGTTCTGCTCTTAAAAAATTATGTAAGAATAAGTTTTTGCCATTCTTTCTAATGACGGGCCGTAAATGGACAGAAATAAATGAATTTTGTCAGGCAACTAACACAAAGTTATTATTTACATTAAATTTACTGCTTCGTGATAGTCATGAATGGAATTCTCAAAATGCTGTTGAATTGATTAAATATTCCAAACAAAAGAAGTTTGATATTGACTGGCAACTTGGAAATGAGCCTAACTCCTTCAGACATGTATTCAATATGACTGTTACTCCGCAAGCATTAGCCCATGACTTCAAAAAACTTCGCAATCTCCTAAATCATCATGGATATAAAAAATCACTACTAGTAGGGCCTGACACCACTAGGCCCCAAGAACATCAACCAAACTGTCTGAAATATATGGTGGAATTCCTAGGCAATGGTTCACATTTTGTAAATGCTAGGTCATGGCATCAGTATTACCTGAATAGTAGAACTGCTAAGTTGCAAGATTTCTGGAATCCTGAAACTTTTGACTTGCTTAAAGAACAAATCGAAACTATGCAAAATCACACCAAGAAATACCACAACTTACCCATGTGGCTCAGTGAAACTAGTACTTCTTATGGTGGTGGAGCTCCTGGTTTGTCTAACACATATGCTGGTACTCCTCTATGGGTAGATAAGCTAGGCCTGTCTGCTAAATATAACATTTCCACTGTTATAAGGCAAAGCTTTTATGGAGGAAACTATAGTCTTGTAAGTGAAGAGCTCGAACCTCATCCTGATTGGTGGGTGAGTGTGTTATATAAGAAATTAGTGGGCAATAAAGTTCTTCATTTGACATGTAAGTGTTCACCTCATCAGAGAGTTTATGTTCATTGTGCTAACAAGAATTATACAAATGATACCAGTGCTATAACAGTTTATGCCATTAATTTAGAAATGGAAAAAGTCCAATTTTTACTCAATGGTACTGCCTTACATGGTGATAATATAATTATTGACGAATTCATAATAAGTGCTCCTTCAAATAATAGGCGAACCAAAACCATACTTTTAAATGGCTGGCCTTTGCATTATGAGTCCGCTAGTCTTGACCTACAACCCAATCACAAGAAATATAATACCCGTATATCCATGCCTCCATATTCCATAGGATTTTGGGTGATTAAAAATACTTCAATTAAAATATGTAAATGAATTTACTTCTAATGTTCAACGAAAATATTTTACACAAATATTTAAAATACTAAGCATTAAAATCTATTATCTATACATTTGCATTCCTATAGTGATCTATCATTGCATTCAATTTATTTAATCAAATTGCATACACATGTATATTGTGAATGCTAAGAACAAATATTTAAAAATTTTACACTTGTATTATTTATGTATATTATTTCTTTACGGGTAAACTATATTTCTCACTAAAATTTAGTCAGTAATTTTATAAGAACTTGACATTTAGCCTTGTATTGCATTCAAGGAGTTGAGACAACTATATTGAACTATACACAGACCTTTGATGATAAATAAGCACCAATAAAGGAATCTTCTCATGTTCAGGTTGCATTCAATTGATCTTTATAATGTAAAATTGTTTATTTTTTTAATTTTATGTTAGGAAAACTAATTGTTTATCAGATCTGTTTCCTGTAAGATTGACTTAGTATAATGCTAGAAAGGTTAAATTGTAACCCATTACCATAGATAACAATTTATAGCACAATTTTAATGGCAAATAATTTCTAACCTTGTCTTAAAAGTTGTCTGCATACATTTAATTACCTTGAAGTAATAGATTATAAGAACACTGACAAATATATGTAAAACAATGAACACAAGTTTAATTATGTATAATTCTTTTTTTTTTCACATAATTATATATTTGTAGAATAAATATATAGTTTAAATATATAGCCTTATGTAAGTGCCAAAATATACACAATGTAAGAATTCTGCTACTTAAATGCTTTACATTTCTATCTATTCAACAAATAAGCTTTTATATTTATATAATACAGAATATTTTTGTTATTATATAATTTTACATGCTGTTGTGAATTGGTGCCTAAATTTAAGACTGACTAGTTTTACAGAATTATTTGTTTCTCATATGACATGCTGAATATTTGTATACTAATGATTGTTGATATAGTTAATGATGTATATCCCAGTGAAAAAAGATTACAAAATGGCTTAAAACTTATCTTAAGATGTTTAATCTATAATATGTTGAGCAGATTATAGAATTAATCTAGGCAACATTCACTAAAGATATTTTCATATTATAATCAAAAAATTATATAAACCACTCTTTCAAGGCTTCATTGTGTTAGATTTAATTAACTGTATTAAATGTGCCTTTATAAATGTTCTATTATAACGCTATTTTATATAAAGATAGTTTTGTTATACAATTTTGTAAATCTGAAACTAATTCTATTTATATGCTTAAAACGTGCCACGAATTTTATACTGCTGTCAAAATATTTACTTTTCGTAATTATAACTGTAAGCTTATCACAATTGTCGAATGTTATGTAATAAAAAACAAGCAAATGTTTCAAGTATTTTTGTTTTTAAAATTAATTATAAAATATTTAATTTATCGGCTTTATGATAATGTATTCAAAATAGTAAAATATTAAAGTCAGAACACAGGTGTGAAAACAGTCTAAGTAATGTATTGTAGGTACTTAGTTCTTAGAACCATGTCTAATGTCCTAGACATTTACTAAATTAGGCCATTGAAACTAAAAGAATAACTACAAGTAATATTAGTGTAAATGCCTTTTTTCTTTAATACTTTTCGTTGTATAAATATAATTATCGTCATAAGCTGAACAAATACTACAGAGATAAGGTTTTTATTCACATTTCTTTATTTGTTAAGAGCTGTAAACTATATTATACAAAAGCGTCCTTATAACATGTACTATCTATGTCCTCATAAAACAATGAATACATTTAGATTGTTTTGTGAACTGTGAATATAAAAAAGAATTACATTATTATAGTAGGTATAGTTTGCGTGAATTCTAAGAACCACAAATTCAACTATGTTGTTTTAAACCCCAAAATTTGACATATTATGTAAAATGTAGTAATATAACTATAATAATTAATGAAACTGCCCATTGCAATATTTTCAAACTAATTTACAGATATGTATTAGGTATGTCCGTTTTTCTTTTTGGTTCGTCAATATTTTCGCCTTAGTTTGGATTAAGTTTAATCAGTTCATATACTTAAAATAACTTGATTGTAATAAGTTTTATCTAAAACTTACATTTTCATTGACATTTACAACGCTCATTTACAAAACGAAGAGAGGAAAAATTTACTTATATTTTTCGGATTAATCGTATTGTATTATTTAAAAAAACTATATACTCCAGACGTTTCGGTTACTTTTCAATAACAATAACCGAAAAGTCGCAAGTACGTTGATTTTAAAATATGTAATAAAATATGCGTAATAATCCGAAAAAAATTTGGTTTATTTAAATGAATACACTCTTATTCGATTAAATAAAGTACCAATTTTTTATGTAGGTATGTACTGTTTCTATAAGTTTGTTGTTAATTAAACTATCGAGTATTTAAGATCGCACTACAAATGGTAGGTAGGAGATGTAACGCCTGGATATTTTTGGTGTTAATACTAAAAGGAAACTAATTACATTGAATGTTTGTATATTAATGGATTTTAGTGTTGAAAAATCTAATAACTGTGGAGAAATTAATTGAGTTTTTGGAGAAATAAATTATTTAAAGCTAGATAGAAATCGTTTTCCAAGGAAATCAAATGTTTAAATTAATGCCTGTGATCTTTTAGATAGAAGAAAATCGCAAATGGGTTAGAAATATATTAACTTTTTTAAACACAATAGTATAGGTAAAACACAGTACAGTTGTATAGATAAATCTAACAAAAGAAAACTAAAGTAGTTATAGATAACACTCCAAATTACCTAAAAATATTCATAATGCAACACAAATATCTTAAAAAGAATTATTTTAAGGCAATTGTGCTCAAGGTAAACGCTACAAAAACAGGATAATATGTTTGAAATGGATATGGGTGATTTGTAATGAACTCTAATAATAAAATCTAGAAGTGGTGGCCAAAGTACAACGCTAACAATTACGTGATGGTCGCGGTGAATAGGTAATTATTTTGAAGAATATTTAATTAATATATCGAGTACCTAATACATTTGTCAGATTAAATAATTTTATACAGAAAAATAACATAAATAGACGATATCTATCCTGACGCCTAAAATGAAACTTACGGAAATTTATAAAATATTGTTTAGTATAGAGCAAAAATAAATTCTCCTCTTTTAACAATTTGGTTTAATTTCGAAGAACACATTTTTTTATTCTACGATAGAATACTGTACAAAGATAGTCTGATTTAAAGTACAATTTGTCTTCTGTCTAAGTCCAAACAACAATTTCAAATTCAATGATAAAATTAAATAAAATATGATTTTAGTCAGTTTGTACATGGAATATTTTTTTTCATTTAGACGATACTGACGACTAACATATGTGGGATTTCGTAATCTGGTAATCCTAAGATGAGCTGGTCATCCTGGCTTGGCATTACATAATATTTTTGTAACTTTTTTATATACAATATGAAGTGATCTTTTAGCTGTATATTTTTAAATCTTAACGATCTTCAAAGTTCATATTTATTTCTTTGATTGTATTACTGTCACTCGTCCTGATGTTGAAGTATGACAATTGTCAAGTGACAATTCCTTTTAAATTTGTTTGTTGACACTTGACACTCAGCTGCACAGTACTGAGTACACTCAATCGTGAATTTAAAGGAGTAAATAATATTATTTAAAAATGAATAAATATCTTCTATTTCTTCTATTCGTGAGTGTTTCGTTTTGTGAGGATAATGAAACAATCCATCAAGGTGAGATTATTGTTTCCGATCCGGCTAGTTATGTTATATTTCACAGTTTTATAAATTTGACTCATTTAACTTAAGATCTGTAAAAAAAAATATTTAAAATAAGAATATATGAACGAGTTGTAGCGAATAATAAAGTCATCTTTAATAATATTGTCACTTTTCAGCTATATATTAATTAATTATCGATATTCCCATTATGATTTATGTTCTAAATCGCTATATTTGAGAGAATATTGTTAATTGAAATATGAAAATATATTGGTTAATAGAAAGAAGAAGTTTGTAATTATATACATACATATTCCTCAAATGTAATAGTATAAAACTTTTGTTGAAAATCAGTAACAATAGAAGCTGCTTAATGTATAGACTTTTATATTATTTGTAAACTTTATTAATGTGCAAGTAAAGCCCCCAATTTTTTTTCTTTCATTTTAAAACATTAAATAAAACGACTTTACACTTTTCAATTCCTATAAAATTTGAAATGAAGTAATGTAATACTTATAATTTGAATATATTAATATATGTTTTACCTTACATTATTACTCTTGTATTAATTAATTATTTTATTTCTTTCAAATGTCTATTGAAGTTTGTTCAAATGTAAACAGATGGGCTTTAGAAATAAAGATAAAATCTATATTATTAATGCATTATATATCAACAAATGAATGATAAAAATATGAATATAGGTAAAGTAGGAAGACACACATGTCTAACAACTTGAGAAAATATTATTATGTTTTTATGTACAACAATATACTTATACTAATATAATTATAGTTAAGGGTTATACAGACTAAATATCCGTTAATTGTTTCTGTTGTCCACTTGTTATGTTTGAAGTATTCAATTTGCACAAATATTTTTTTAAAACTATTATGTCACTGATATATATTCATTGAGTTCAGTTATTGGAGTTACTAATGTATTCCTTTTAAGATTAATGGAAAGCTCTCAAAATGCCTAATATAAATTATTTTCATTGGGGGAGTAGGAAAAGGAAGAAATTCCTTAAGGGTTTTATTAAAACTACAAGTTTACGAAAATTTCATCATGAACAGTAAATATTATTCTACTTTTTTCTCAGTTTTTCTTCAATATAAGACAATGATAACAATAATAATATTTAAACCTCTTGATATATGAAGGAACCGGATTTAAAATAGACAAGAACAAGTGTAATTTAATATATTATCCATACTTCAATGATTTACATAATATAAATTTTATAAATAAGAATAATGTGTGCATATTTTAATCTACAAATTGCCATGAAGGCAATAAATTGTGGTTAAGTATTTCAACACATCATTAATTCACGAAATATTAAATTACAACGCCTAACCAGCAGTTAAAGATGTAGGGGAAGTGGGAATGGTTCATTGAAACATAGACACCTCGACCTAATAACCGGATACGAATGTTCTCGTCGTCGAGTTTTTAAGAGGCCCCTTTAAGTATAGGAGAATAGAATGCAAGGACGGGTACCGTTATATATCCTGTGATTTTCCCGTCACTGGCGTCTAACTTGTCGTGGCTACTATTTGTTTATCACCTATATATAGATAGACGGACAAAACTATATAAATCCGATTTTATATACGGCTCTTTCATCAAATATTATGTATGTACACTTAATAGACTTAGCTACTAACGTTGTAACTTAATTTTTTTTGTAACATCAATAATAATGAAAAGTCCCTATTTTAATGATCGTAAATGTTAACATTTTTAGAAGAATTTAAATGCTCTCTTCCCGAAGTGGAGACAATTGATGGAAATCTGGATATATCGAGATTCAGATCAGACTTTTCTAAGATATCTGAGGTAACGTATATAATATAAGTAATCGTAATTATGGCTTGCGTTTTCATTGAAGCATCTTGCTATCATGATGTTTATATTAAATGTCTTCTTGGTATTTTTTTTGATTGGTAAATAGGTTAAATTTCCGGGACTTATCGGACCTTTAAACGAGCGTCTCATTTGCAAAATAAAATGTATAGATGGAAATTGGGTTGGACCACTCTGTTCTTCAACGCCAAGTAAGCAAAGTATGCATGATTTATCTTAACGTTTATTTAACGTGTCCTAAACTCTATCGCAGCATAAAAAGGGTTTACATAAAATTATTAATATTCTTCATAAATGTGGTATTTTATTTAAGAAAGAGACGTTGTATTAGAAATTACCTTTTTATAGAATAACTTGTACTCTAATCGAAATAACTTTTCAGATGGTAGATTTAAACCCATTCTTCGAGAATGTCTGTACAGAATGAAGGATCCTCTCCTCGCCATTTCATACAAGAATGGTTCTATTTTAGTAAGTTTTATTCTTATTATACTTGGATTATTACAAGTAAAGTTCTAACAACAGTTAATATTAATTAAAAAATCGTAAATATGCAGTACGTTACATGGGTGCAAAATTTTATCATAATATATTTTTTACACAGACGGACACATATTTTCCGCACGGCTCGACAATTGTAGTTCGCTGCAAACACTTTGGCCTATACAAGCTAACAGGTGACAACACTTTACGATGCGAGAACGGCGAGTGGGAACCCAAATGGCCCATCTGTGTGCCAACATCTATGATCACCAACTATACAGGTGTTTGACTTACGTATGGGAACTGATCTCAAAGTAGTAATAATTAGTATGAAAGAAGAATATTTGAGCAAAAAACTTACTTATTGTTCTAGAAATTTAGTACATTTTTTTCTAAATCTCTAATTTATTTCCAAACAAATTCTTTGCCTTGAACTTTCAAAAATCCCGTAAGGTGCTATCGTTGTCCTCGATGTCAAGTATCTTGAAGCCAGGTCATGCGAATATTTTCCATTTTTCCTTTGTAGTTCATTCTTAAAGATAAACTCTAAGTGTTCTTAATGGCAACTTTATGTCTTTTGTGACGTTTGTAGTATTATATGTTTCCTCAGAATATGATCAAATGTTTATGACATATTATATAAGTAAACTTACTTTATTTCCACTTGAATTAAATATTTACTTATTTATGGAAAGCAATAACTTCATCAATTATTTTATGTCATACGCAAGTTCCTATATATAATAAGTTATTTGTAATTTCAGGTGGGGCGCCTCCAACAATACAGTATCTTGCGGCATCTGGGTCAGCCATTGTGGAGTTAAGTGGAGAGCTGTACACTTATCCAGGGACAACCTTGTGGTTAGACTGCCTCTGGCCCAGAAGCCAGGGGAAGCCGGATTGGAGCTGGAGAGACAACTATCGACACCAGGCCTGTATGGAGAAATAAGCCTTAACTATGTTTACATAATGTTCACTTTCTATCAATAAAAGAAATATTAGTAAAGGCAGTATTAAGTTTATCCCTTTTTTCCAATTATTTAAAAGCTTAAGTCTTTCAAACCAGACTGCATATGTTAAGGAATAATTATATGTGTTTTATATATTTTTATATAAATATATATATTTCATTTTATTGCTGTCACTTAATATGTCTCGCACTTAAGTATAGAACGTTTTATCTCTATTGAGGAAATTATTGGCTATGTTACACAGGTATTGAATAGTATACACTGAAACAAATGTTTCATATGTCCTTGGATTTCAACTCTAGTACTTATGTTTGACTACCCTCATCAAATAATAATCACCTATAATCAGTAATGCATTAAATGTTTGAAACATTTTCCTACTCATAAATTATGTTTGTTTCATTTGTAAAGACCTTATTATTGCATGCCAAGTTTATAAAAGAACTTAGAGTAAGGAAATAATATTTCCACTCATAATGTTTGCATTGATGTTTTAATTTTGTTGCAGTTTTCATCTTCTTCTTGGTTCCCTTTTTATATATTTCAAACCTACAAATCATTAAGTTGAAGAGCATGTTTTCTTGTTTCTTGTCGTATATAATTTTTCTGGTAAGTATTAAAACCAATTATTTTGTCTTACTTGTATTATCTGAAAAAAAAAATCGTTTTAAATCAAACAGCGAAAGTCTTTCTTCAATTTGGAACGCAATACCTTATCAGTTATAGTGTCATATCCATACCTACGAGGTATTATTCACTAATTAAAATATAAAATAGATTCTGTAGCCATGAAATTATAGGATTCTTGGCAAACATTTACATATGGATGGATATATACAATTAAAATACTTAATCCATATAAAGAATAATCATAATATTTATGCTGCACATAAAGTATGTAACTTATCAATTAAAATTCCAGCGTGGGTGAGTGCAACGGGTGAGGTGGAACTTCACTACAGGCTGGTGCTGACTCGGATGTCCCACCATCACAGTGGACCTTACACATGCACTGCACCAACTGGCACCACTAACACTGTCCTCGTTAGAGTTGTTAGTGAGTCTTTAATCTTAGTGCATGCTTCCAGTGGATGTGTTATTACCTTTACTAACACTCTGTATGTATGTAGAGACATATCACTGTGACAGCTGTAAATTTTTTATAGTTTTTTATGTGTGTGTGTTATTGTTTCATAACATGTAAACAGTATAACCAACAATAATTTGTCATATACCAGTATCAGTTATGAAGACACATTAAATCGTATTGACGGAATATTATATAATACTGATCGAGTTAGTGTATATATTCATAGGTAACATTTGAAATAGTTTTACACATTTCATCATTTCCATTGAGGTAGATTTGATAATTGTTTGATAACATAATTTAAGATGTCAATGTTAAAGATAGCCTCAGCAATAATAATTTTTCACTGTAATAATGTACCGTAAGATACTCCTTATCATTAAATTTTATTCTAAAAATATCATTTAATGGATATAATATATGTTTAATATATAATAATCGTGAGATCGTCTATGGTCTTCCACTTGATATATTTAATAATTGTTCCCAGATGTGGTATGCCCTCTAATGAATGTGTCTTCGCCTCGTCTCCGTGAATCAGCTCAGGGCTCTCAACTGGGTAATGCTGTCCACTTTAGCTGCGAACCAGGCTACCATCTCAATGGATCAGCTGTTGTATATTGTATGGGTGATGGTATGTTAGACCTTTATTGAAATTGTTTTGTATTTAATTATATTTTTCCATCAGTGCAACGCCGTAGGAGATTTTTTAAAGTTTGGCCTCACAGGCAGCTCAATTAATTAAAGCTAACATATTATTTATTTATTTATTTAAAAGGTACACCAACATCACACATATTCAGCACACATAAACAACAGATAAAATTGATAAAATCTAGGACCTGATATGAGTGACAATTACAGATGTACACAACATTCACAAAAAGAAAAAAAATCTTATTGTCTACCTGATGAATTTAAGTGATAATTAACAGTGCTTACACTAATAAATTATCACAGTAATAAATACCTTTTAAACTTATTTTTCCTGTGTTATATTCTTTTGTCCTTCATGTTTCTGATATGTTTAAAAAATTGTTAAATAAATAAATAAATTTTACAGTGTATAATATGGAAATTGGTTAACCAATTCATATACTACACATGCATAATACATAGAACGTGACAACATGTATTTTGTCTAAATAAGTCTCCATATCTCCAGGTCGCTGGTCTTCAGAACCGCCGACGTGTGTGGAAACGTTTTGTCCCCATCCACCCCCCGGGCCCCAGTTGTCGGTTGTAGAGTATAACTCTTCGTACGGTGGTCGTGTTGTGTTCGCGTGCTCCTGGGGTTATCGTCTGCGGGGTCCACCAGGCTTGGAGTGTGAACAGGACGGCAAATGGTCAGGGGAAATTCCACATTGTGTTCGTAAGTCTTGTTTGACTTAAATTTACTTTACTATTTTAGATTGATGATTGTTGGATGTCGTCTTAAAACAGCTTAAAACATAAAGTTACAACGGAATTATTATAATATAGATTATTCATTGTTAATACTATTACCATTTTTACTCAATTTATTACAGCAATATACTGCCCGGATCCATTAGTACCAGAGAACGGAAGACTTTTGAACACATTGTCTAAAGATGGCAAGTATCCAGTTGGAGATCTCATCATGTACGCTTGTGGGGATGGTTTAGAGATTGTTGGGGAATCATCTATTGTATGTACAGAAAATGGTTTCTGGTCTCATCCCCCACCATTCTGTCTTCCTCCCTCAGAAATAAAGAAAACTGACACTATTTATATAGACAACACCACCCTTGTTAACTTCGAAGAATAGATGTGATAGAATAAATATATTATATTTATACATAAAAAAATTATATATAATAACATATTTAATAAAATATTGTATCAAACCTTGATTTTGGTTTTATTTGCTCCTATGCAACTGTATGGCGATATATATTTGTAAAACTTAGCCTATTTTCTTAGGGTCACCAAACTTGTAACTTTTCTCAATAAATTACCAAAAATCTAAAGAAAAGTATAATAAATGATTGTTTTAATATCAACTTTTCCGAAACTGCTACTAATAGAAGTCAGTAGGTACTTCTCTGTAATTACTGTACATCAATTAGTTTACTAGAAATGTTGGTATTAGTAACTGATTAATTTCTGACCATTACATGCTCAATCATTATTAAATACATGTTAAAATGGCATACATGTGTTTTCAGTTGAGTAACAGGCATCATTATATTATTGTAAGGGAAATGCAAAAAACCGTGCAATATTCATTGATTTTTTGAAAAGTTTCAAGTATTTAAATATTTTATGACCACAGCCATATGAAATATAAACCCAGCAAGCTTTCTATTGTTATTGAAGAAGTAGATTGTGTCAATTTTAGTTGCAAAGTCAATTTCATTTCTTGACACAAAAAATTTTTTTAGGATATTTATTTAAGAGAGTAATTATTTCAGCTTTTAAATTCTATGACTGATAAGAAGATACCAGGAAACCTAAAACATAATCTCTGTTTCACTGAGATAGCATAACAATCGAAATGGCAACTGCAATGTTTGGATTAAACTGCATTTGGGACGATTATATATATTAAATAAGCTATCGAGTTCATTATCATTCCCTTTGGTGTATTATACTGATAAATTTGTGTACCTACATATCTTCAAATTTGTCGTTCAACGGCGTTGGAATATATTCTTATAAAAAACATTTATTCAATGAAGTTATCAATTCATCTCCAAACTTTTTAAAACTTTTCTACATAATAACTATTTCAAAACAATGCTATGTATATAAAATATTTTTTATTACGGCAACATACTGTGATAAATTGACAATACTTCTCGTTCCTAAGGTGAATGAACTTTATCGACATGTACAAACGGCCCAAAGGGGTGACATTTGACAGTGTTCTACTTGGTCCTGATAGAATTATTTGTATGGAAACAGGTGCCCCCTATCTTCTAACACTTTATAGTTACCATGAGAAGAACAGAGCTAGAAAATAATGTGTTTGTGATTTACCGGCGCGCGCTTTGATAGCTGTATTGATTTTAGTGTATTTCCTAGGTCATAAAACCCGGTCTAGTTTTGAGCTCGAGTACGCCTTATTCGCGTTTCGACACCCGTGCAGTTATGTGCTGTCATTATAATTCACAATAATAATTCAAATAATAAAAATGAATTATACATTGCCAGTGTTGTCGTTGTTATTGTTCTTGAACTCTTTTATCCTGTGCTCATGTAACGATATTGATGATGAAAAGAAACTCCCGACTGTGGGCATAACGTGTCTGGTTCGTAACCAAGCTCATACATTGCCCCAATTTCTTACTTCTCTCATGAATTTGGACTACCCGAAAGACAGGATATTCTTATGGTAAGTACATTCAAAGTTTATGTCACTGAAATATAAAATTAATAACTTGTAAAAAGCATTCACCTACTCAATCGCTGCGAATTGTTTATAACCATATATAATTTGTTATTTTTATACCAGTATTGTGAGTATTAACATACAATTTGTCCTAAAATATAAAATACTTTAAAATGGTACAAAAATATTTCTTTATAATAATTCTATAACTTTTCTTATTAATTTATATAATGGAGAAATCATTCTGTGTTCCTTATTATATCAGGGCGGGATCTGTATGGCATATTGTTTGGATGTCACATATATTCCATATTAGATCAATACAATTAAAGGGAGTCGCCAAAACTGCAGCAAGCAATGCACACTTATAACACAGTCAATAATTTATAAAATATTTTATGTAGGCTTTTGCGAATGCCTGCTACAGTACTTTCAATTCAAATAATACAATATTCATATGGGAATCGTTAAGAAATAATATTTAATATTTATTAATAATAAGTTTCTATTTACAAACATTTTGCAACTATTTTTTTAGTACCTTCAATGTTTTTAATTTGATACATTAATCAAACAGCAAACTATTAAATAGGAACAATAAGTTAAAAAAATCAAGCCCGCCAATCATTTCTAGTTATTTATACTTTTTGTTTGTATTGTAAAAGATGAATTATTATTTTATTCATTTATTAATTTCAAGACCAGTTTTGAATTTTTTAACAATGAAAAATAATGATGATATCTATATTGTTGCCAAGCAATTGAATTCTGTTCGTAATTGTACTCTATGCAATTTCTTTACATTCATTTGTTATACCTATATGTAGGATATAATATAAGAGGTATGGGCGGTGGCGTCAATTTGTGACGCGCAGGCGCCAAACCTGTTTCCTCCCTCATATCTGCCTCTACCCCTTAATGCATCCTCGCTGACGCGCCCCATATATGACCTATTTCTAGAACACTATGAGGATAACGAAATAATTTTTTTTAGGTTCCGCAGCGACTACAACAGCGACCATTCAGTTGACGTGCTACGTGATTTTGTTAATAAATTCGGAACCTTGTACAACCGAGTACATCTTTCATATAACACGTCTAAACAAAAGTTCGACGATGAATTGTCACCGACCCATTGGAGCCACAGTCGATTTATGCATTTGATTAAGTGGAGGGAAATGGGTATTAAGTATGCGAAACGACAATGGGCCGATTATGTATTTGTAAGTTTATATTTTGTCATTCAGAATATATAGTTATATATAACATATGAATATATGTGTATCATATGTAGGTGTGTTTATTTGTATATATGTACAATAAAAATTTTTTACTTGTGTATTTGTATATAGTTTATTTGTGGAGGTGATTATTTCGGATGAATATTTTGTATTTGTGCTTTCATATATTAAATAATGGTTGTGGTTAATTCGGAAATATAAAAAACATATATAAAAAACAAGTGAGGCAAAAGACTGCAACTAGTTTCAAATATGCTCAAGCGCAGACGTTGCAGTAAGCTGTAAATCAAAACTGACGTCGTAATTGTGTTACCGGATGCCGGTCATAACGTATGGGATATAAATAAAGTTAATAAAATATAATTTAATGTTATCCCAGCGATGTTTTATATTTTCAACTATATTACTGAATGCGGTAGTTCAACATTGAATAGCGACTTCGAAGTCATGTCCAAAGGAATTGTAGATTTGACAACGAATGTCCAATGTGTCAGATGCTGGACGCGGATGTGTTTCTCACGAACCCCCAGACGCTACGGCATCTCATCCAAAAACAACTCCGTGTGGTGGCGCCAATGCTCGTCTCAGATCGATATTACTCCAACTTCTGGTTTGACTTTCGTCGCTTCTGGTTTTGAATCCTCATACATCTGTCATATCAATGCGTGAATGCTTGCGCTTCTGTCTAAAACCGCCGGTCTCAGTGTTTTAGATGTTCATGCTTTATAGTAACGAATGTGACTTAATGTTCAGCAGACTTGAATAATGCTTTCGCTTATTAAGGATGATTCACGACACCTGAATCCGATCATTATGGTTAATAAATGTATATGTTTGATATTTTCAAAGTTATGAAAATAAGAAATCAACTAAAACCTCAATTCAGAAAAACCTAAGCAATTTCAATCAGCAGTTTTAAATTTTAACTTCGTGGTAGTTTTGTACAAAGAAATTAGTTGGATCAGTAAAGACTAGAGTTTCGGATCTGATAGCCAACCAGTTTTTTCACAAGCTATGGCCACGGATTGGTAAACGTGCATGATCCTTACACTTGTAACAGTTTTTACATCACAATAAGGTTAATGTGCATGTTTGGTATGTGACGATAATTACAGTAATTTGAAAAAATGCTATTAAAAATATACAGTTGCTTGTCTGAAAACTTATTTTTTAGCTGTCTTATTTTATTAATTATGAACCATCGGCTTCCACTTCAAGATATCTCCTTTCATGTTATTTTTTTATCCATTTTGATGTTGGCGTATAGTGATTCTTATCACATGCTGTGCACAGAGTTTTGACGCTCATTTCTTTTTAGGTTGTCCGTTGACGATGATTTCAACTATCGTCTAAATCACGATGATGAATACTATCCATTATATGAGTACAACGAATCGTACATGGCATGTCATATAGTTCCAGTGATATACGGAGCGGTACTAATGGATCTTCGATCAAAGAAATCGGACTATATAACCTATGACCCCTACAAAATAGTCGATTACATGGGCCCGATACAGGACCACATTATATTTGCCGTGAACGCCATGAGGAACAGTGAGTTCATTATGAAAAAATATTGAAACAATTCGTCTACAAAAAAAATTACTCAACTTTGACACAGTTCGGATAATTGATAAACATTATCGTTTGACCCTAGTTACAATACGACACCAATTATATATTATTGTATGTGAATTGTTTAAAACATAGAAAATTCTGGAATTTTATTACTATGAATTAAAATTTGTAACAAGATATAAAATAAACGAAATCCTTTAAGAATCTTTCGGGCCGTTAAAATAAATCATAAACTAAATTCTCTGTCTAATGAAAAACTTTTTTTATATTAGATATATCGCTACACCTTTGCAACGACGATTTCTTCGGTTACATCACCCGACCAATAAAAGAAGGTGAACCGCTTGAAAGGGATGTATTGCATCTCACCAATCTCAAGCTGTCAGCGATAGCGCGCAGCAAGCCGCTTCAATACCACTACAAGCTGCAGCGTTTTGTGTACTACCCTCCTTCTCTGGACTATCAAGTTAACAAGATTTATATGATCAACCTCGAACGAAGACCTGATAAAAGAAAGCTGATGGAACAGAGCTTCAAGGAATTAGGCATGAATGTTACACGTGTTGAAGCCGTGGACGGAAAGTGAGTAATTTTTATATGAACTTATCGTGAAAGTGAGTAATAATTTTTTGAATAAGTTATTGTTAAAAAGAACTAAGTTTACTGAACTGATGATGTGTTATATTTTGGTGGAGTTTTATATAGTCTTAATATTTTTCTGTAGGAACCTGGACGCAAAAAAACTTCAAGATATGAACGTCACCTTGATGCCTGGATATGAAGACGCCTATTATAAACGGTATGATATATTCATATTCCACCGCGTTAATTGTAATGCAAATTTGTTTGTAAAATAACACTAGAAAAATCTGTTCGGAAAAAGATTTTTTTATATAATGATAAAAAGGAAAAAATTATATTATGACTTGACTAAATATAATATATATTCCCAGCCCTATGACCTACGGCGAGATCGGATGTTTCTTGAGTCATTACAAGATTTGGGTCGAGGTAATTAAAAAAATACACGTACAATTATATATTATAAATAGTTTACTTCATATCATTTATGCTTTTATCAGGTTGCGGAGAGAAACTACAACAGAGTGTTGATTTTGGAAGACGACGTTAATTTCTTGCCTTATTTCAAGGAAAACTATGATATGATTATATGGGAGTCTTCTGTTCTGACTCATGATTTTATGTGAGCATCTAAAATTTATTTGTTTTTGAAACATTATTTCATCTATTCTGGTAATATTGGCTGAATTATTTTACGAGGAATTCTTTTAGAGAACGTTAAACAGAAAATATTGTCACATTAGTTGGGTATATGTTAACTTTTTTTTTGTTTCAGCTACCTCGGCCGTAAAATTATGATGGATAAGGTTGAAATTCGAATGACGACTCATCTGACTAAGCCGCTATACTCTTATTGGACTATTGGTTATATTATAACAAAACTGGGTGCTGAGAAACTGATCGAGGCTAACCCTTTGAGCAAATTGTTACCAGTCGATGAGTTCTTACCTATCATGTTCGATGAACATCCAGAGTGAGTAAATACTTATCACCAAGTAAACTTGATTATATACATAACAATTTTTGTAATTTAATACATTTATGTATGTTTCAGTAAAAAATATAAAGAATTCTTCCCAAAGCGGAACCTAGATGCGCTAGCTGCCAGTCCATCTATCATTTCACCTACACACTATACTGGTATGCCGGGTTATATTAGTGACACTGAAGATTCCATACCTCTCTCTACTGAGCCTTGCACTGATAATCCAGAACTTTAAACATATTTCATCTATCTTATAGTATATGCTTAGTGTTTATTGATGTCAACTTCAAGTATCATATTATTTCCATATATTAGTATGTCAATGTAATACAATGTTATGTATCTGCCGTTAGGGTATTAGTATAGATATATAACCAATGATGTAGGAACATATTTAAAAACTATATTAAAAATGTCATTATAATCTTCTTCGTCGTCAACTTTCAACTACTGTCTGTTTAGATAAATGTATGCCTTTTCAACATATTCGATGTACTATTTAAGTCTTGTCTATATAGATATTCAAAAGGAAATTTAACGGGAAATTAAATATTGTGGTTTGACGAATTTTTTTTTGGATAAAATATACCGTTTTCGAAAAAATCCAAATTACCGTAATTTTTGAACTGTGAACCCTAAAAACTTTTGGTGGACACATATTATCGGTGGGGATTTTAAAAGCGTTATTTATAAAGAATAATCCCAACAGTCCACAAAAGTTTGGCTTCCCGGGAATTTTTTCTTTGACTTCTACCTTTAAATATCTAAATTGAGCGGACTAATTAATGAATGTCGTTGTTTCAAGCAGCGTTTTAATATTGAAGCTGTTTTAAATGTATTGTGACTGGTAGCAAGATATAATAAAAATAAAAAAAAAAAACAAAAAAATGTCTAAAATGTCCCGTATTTTATGTTATGGAGTTAAACTCTTAATTTGTTTATATTTCTTGGAGCTTTTATTACGATATAAATAACGAAAAATCAAAATTGAATCTCATCTCAGCCTAAACGTCTATAAGGCTGATGTATTTAGACAATTTGAGACAATACTGTCAAATAAAAACTGCTTTTTATATATATTTTATGTAATTTTAGCTATTAAGTTTAGTTTGAAGTCACGCGAATTTTGTAGGATTGGGTGAAACCTGAAGGGCTAGTTTGGCGTAAACGTTGAGTTTACGAACTATATTTGACGTTAGAAAAATTATGTGTAAAGGAGGGGTGCTATAATGAAAATAAAATATAGGAATACGAATGAGGTGTCGGAAAGATAAAAGAAATGATTATTAAAAGTAACGTACAAATGTCGGTAGTGGGGATGATCATGAGCTGTTCGTGTTTTGTCAGAAGGCTTGAGGCTATCCATACATATAATGTCCATAAAACAACAGGACCTTTTTATATACTCATACATTATAATATGTAAGTACTTTAATTAGTGTTTAAAATTCAGTGACTGATTATATTTAACTTTGTACCATATCAAAAGCATGATTGTGGGCCATATTATTAAAAAAAAATCTAAATATTTTGTAAACGATCCTCTTTACTATATTTTTATAATTTTAAAACTTAATTAGGATATCTATCTACTTTGTACTTTAAACTGTAAAATTGGTTTAATATATTTAAAAAAAAACAATATCTTACATGTTATTGGAATATGTATGTTATGCCAAAGTACCGACGAGTCAAAGAGTGCCATACGATAAAATAGTTAAAGATGTAAGTTATGCAAGGTATGAAATGAATTTACGTAAACTGCTGAAAATGTCTGATATTCTATAGTTATTAAGATTTTGTAACCCTAAATATGTTTATTACTTTTTATAATGTTACTTTCACCTATTAATAAATATAATTTTTTTAAGTTTCCACGCATTTTATTTGTGTCTAACTTCAGAATCGTACAGAAGGTGCCTTTGTTAAAATCTCTTTATCCGGTTTTGTTATCCCTCTAGAGGATCCAATTGGTATCAAATAATAAATAGTAACGCAAGTAATAGTCGTTTAGTAAAAAATAAATATACGATTCCGTATCTATTGCATCCTTCTTAATACTCGCAATGGGCTGTTTTATTAATTTTCACTAGGTAGATACATGTTGTAGCCATACCGATTACATGTTGACAGTAGACAAATAAAATTTCAAGTGATGTTCATAACAGAAATATTAAAATATTTTCGTCATAATAAAAACGCCCAATGTAAAAATGAATTCGAGCAAACTGAAATAAATTTAAAACATGGTATTGAGGAAATACAGCAGTGTGTGAAATCAATCGAAGAGGCTATCACTAAAGTTGAACAATGCGTGTGTCCCTATAAAAATATCTGTGATGAAGAAAGATCGGTTCTGAATCAGTGCTATTTAGAAAATCCAAGAGAAACATTAAATTGCGAAAATGTTGTTAAAAGTTTTAATAAATGTGTCAAAGATGCTATTACTGAATTTGTGAATAATAATTAAATTTTGATTATTTTAGCTGCTTCAAAAATAATTGAAGTAAAAATAAAGCTCTAAACTAGTTATATTATGCCTTAAGATTTTTGTCCATTTAATTCAAATTATTACGTTAAGGTTATTTAAAATGAAACTTAAAACAAAGTTTTCTTTTAACTTTTTAATATTATGTTTATAACGATAAAATAATCCTTACAACGTTTAGTGTATGCATATACCTAATACTATGTATGTAAAAACTTTTAGTAGATTCCACATATTCACCCAAAATACCTTTTTATTTATACATATATAAGAAATCATGAGTATAATTTCCAAACTGAATGTTTATTACATATTATTAACATATTTATACAAAAGTTAGTCTTTTATATTAAATACATAATTGATAACGTGTCCAATACATTATTTTATACTAGTGTTATCCACATATACAGTATAACAATAAAACGCAAGTAAGTTATAAATTTTATTCGACATAATAACATTTTCGAAAATTTGTTACTTATTTTCAATGAACAATTTTACAACTTCGCATCACCTAGTAATTGATACATCAGTTCAATGATAGTTCTTGTGGGACGGCCGGTCATACCTTTCTGAAGATAGGTAAAATCATGACCTTCTGTATAGGAAACGTTATAAGTATCGAAGTGCATCCATTGACTATCACAAACAAATTGCTTAAGAAAAGCTGCACAATTAGGAGAGTCTCCATAATCATTAGTGGCTGTGTTGGCAAGATCGGCAACGTGGCAATCTTTTAAACGTTCTTCGTAGAATTTCCATAATGGCATGCGCCAAATCCTGTCACCAGTTTGACTGCTGGCTGACTCTGCATAACAAAATAATTCCTCAGAGTTTGTGTAACAGCCGCAAGCAGCTCCACCGAGCGTATAAATTAATTCCTTCGACATTGTACCTATATCTAAAATCATTTTAGGCCAATAATTTCTAGCGTACACTAAGCTATCTGCAAACAAGAGGCGACCTTCACGCGAGGGAAGTCTGATATGTATTGATTTTCCACTTGCGCTGGATACGATATCTCCGAATTTAGGACTTTTACCACTAGGCATTAATTCACATAACGGCAAAATACCGCGAATATTGACCGGCAATTTAAGTATTGCTGCAGCTCGGGTAATAGCGAGTACGCAAGCTGCTCCTGCCATATCACCTCTCATATGACGCAGTGCTCTTGATGATTTTAGGTCCACACTTCCACTGTCAAAGGTGACTCCTTTTCCTATCAAAACTATAGGTCTTGTACGTTCATTAGCTCCGTAATAGCTTATTTCTACATAAAGTGGAGGTTGTAGTGATGATTTCCCGATGGCCACGAATCCACCCATTTCGTGGCTGGTTGCCCAACCTTGAGTCTTAACTTCAACGTTAATATCCAGTTCACAAAGTAAGTCAACTGCCAGTTTTGCGAATTTTGTTGGGTTTAAAATATTTGGGGGCATTTCTTGCAGAAAGCGGGCTAAATTTTGAGACTCGGCTTTAAGTTCACCAATTTTCCAACCATCAAAGTCACAGTCATCAAAAAGTTGAAGCTTAGGTTTTGGGATAACCTTTTCACTTTTTGGACTCCTATATTCTTGAAACCTCCATGTTGCCAAACAAGCTCCTTCTGCGGCTGCCTCAGCATCTCCGAATGATTCAACGTGAATTGCAGAAGGTTTAAATTTATACAAGGCCTGTGTTCCGATTCCTGCGGCTATTCTTATAGCTTCTTTACTTTCGTGTAACTGTTCTAATTCGTTAAATGCTAAGCATTCAGAACCTAATCCGGCTACAGCTACATATCCATAAACAGGGTCTAAATCATAAAATACTCTATATTCTCCAAGACGAGGTGTTGGTGTAAGTTTTAGTTGATTCCAGAGCTTACCTTTACATTTTTCATCAAATTTTTGAGCACTCGCTGTTAGTATAGTACCTTCTCCTACTACGTTTTCATTATAATACACTCCAAGAACTAAACCCTTATCTCGAATGCCGCAAAGTTTGGGATCGTTAACCTTACGCCAGTTTTTAGGAAGTACACAGTCGGATCTTGGAATTTTGAATTGTGAAATAAATCTTATACATCTACTTCCATGTCTGTAATCAAACATTTTCTTAATATATTGTACCACAAATAATTTTGTAAAACAAGAACAAATTTTCGAAAGGTACTTAGATACTAAAATGACTCAGTACTTGCCCGTCGCCCTCTAGATGTTAAATAAATTAATGTTTTTATAATAAATTCTTCATATATAAAAACTTTATGATATTATTAATATGGACAATCACATCCAACTCACAAACCATTCATTCGCATGTTTTTAAGATATAGTCACGAAGTTTTCTTCTTAAGCCACTGAGGAGAATAGTGTCTGATCCACTCTGGAATATTTCGAAAAATAGTCTCTTGTAATTGCCGATATATAATGAGTATTAAAATTGGTATAGCTAATCTTTCGTCTTTAAAAATATAAAGCCAAAAAGCCAACAACAACAAGCACACATCTACTGTGTAGTCGATTGCTGATCTAACGGTTACTTTAGCTCTCTCTTCTAGCTTCCTATAATCTATCGGTATGACGATTGTAGCTCTTTCAGTTGTTTTAAGCACAACATTTGTGATTTCAGATTTTTGATTAGAATTTTGAGCTTTTGACAGATGTACTTTGTTTTCAGTTATTTCCGTTTGTTTTTCCAAATTTTCTTTTTTTGAACTTTTGTTTAATGGTTTGGTCCTTAGTTTTGGTTTAGTTTTTGATGTTTTCACTTTTTTATCTTGAGCTGGCTCAAAAACTATATCTTTGTGCTCTGAAACGTTGGATGATTGGATATCATTTTTGTGTTGCTGTTCTGCAACATGTTTAAGTTCTTCTGTATTTAGGTAAAGAGGGGTATTGGACTTCTTAACACTTCCGTACTCTTTTACAATATTGCCATAGTAATCAATGACAGTTTTTCCTTCATCGCCAAATTTGTCATCTAAGGCTTCTACTTTATTAATAGGCTTTTCTTTGTTCGTCTGTATTGTTTCATGTGATATACTTGTGTCTTTCTTGTTAAGAATTTTAGGAAAATGAAATGGTTTTTGCTTGGTAAATTTTTGAAATAATGTTCTCTTGTTTTCCTTTTGAGTTTTTGTTAATATTTCGTTACCTTCTTTTAAATCACTTTTTGTTTCTATTGATGTAAAATTGATTGGTTTTGTATTTTCTCGTTTCTTTAAAATAGGTTTTGGTACAAAATTGGGATCTGGTAATGGTGAAAGTGGAATATGCTCGTCATTGTTGTCTTCTTCCTCTAAAGATTCTTTTGACAGAGATTTATTATGGATATTTTTGTTTCTAGGGTTATAGGTGGCCTCCTCTTCTAGTAATTGGCTTTCTCTTTGGATCTCTTCGGTAAGGCTAACGTCTTCATCTTCCGAATAATCGCCATCGGTGGAAACTGTACTAGCTGTGTAGTCTTCATCAAAGGACATCTGTTGCCATTTTTCAGAGTTTATAGAATCTTGACGGATTTGAAACTTTGAATTTTGAAGTTCTTTTTCTTCTACACTGTCACTTTTAATAGACATATCTGCAGAGAGTGCTTTTTTAACTATATCATGTTTATGCTTCGAAGTATGACCGTTGACAGCATTGTTGTTTTCAAAGCCATTACTGGGAATGTTATTTTGCTTTTGCTTACTTTGTTCTTCTTTCATGGCGACGGCTTTGTAGAAGCGAGCCATTGCTCGTTCGTGTAAAAGCTCTGTGGAACTGACAGCGTTTCGTAGAGTTTTGAAAGGCAACGTAGATCTAGAACTTAACTCAGGTGCTGATAACGAAATAGGTGGGGGTGATAACGCGTCTTCTAAATCCAGCTGAAACGATTTCCGTTTTTCTGAAAGGCACAGGATAATTATTAGAAGATATTTAGGTTGCAATATTAATAATAATTGTAACTTTGATTGATAAATAATATTTACACAAACATATAGTATCGCAATGCAATGCTAATTTAAAATCGCTCCTTTTAAAATAAAATGCATTACTTTCGCAACAAATCTAAGTAAGTTGAAAATGCTACTAAAATTTCTATTTGCAATGTTTTATTCGTACTATAAAATGTTAAGTATGTAAGGACATCTCAAAAAAAAATTTTGATTAGCTTGCTAATTTTCAATAAAACGCTTTGACTAATTATTATCAATCCCTATTAATTTTAAGTTCCTATATTTAATAAAAGAATATTTATAGCTTATTATTTATCGCGTAAATCTTTGGAATTGACTGATTTAAACTTTTGCTGTTAATCAAAGGAGTTTAAGTTTATTTGGGGCGTTTTGTAGGTTGATGGTATTTCTTACGCTAACCGCTGTTGCCAATTAGGTTTACAACAGGAGTCAAAGTAAATAACGATTGTCGCAGGTTAAAACAGTCAATTACATTAGATTTATTGTTTGAAAATATGATAAAATATTATAATTTAATACGATTTAAAATTGGGTCACGAATGATTAAAAAGATTTGTGAGTAAATATAGTACTTGCCAATATTAAAAGTATGTTCTTATATAAACTGCAATATTTAATATTCACCTAATGCTATAGAATATTCTGTCTCTAAATCTCATATTTATGACACTATTTAATATTATTTTAAAATACAGTTGTCGTTTGTGAAATGAAGAATTTATTTTGTACTATTAATGTAACATTCCATTTTTTATTCAATCCCAATAGTTTCAAGGTTCTTGTATTTACCTATCTTATTAAATCAAACATTCTTAAGTTGCCGAGATGTTTAATAAAAAATGAAATTTCGCTTGCTGGTAATGGTTTAAATATAATTATTCGAATTTTATTTTATTTCAAACGATATTTATGGATTTTTTGTAAGGTATAGCATATTCGTTTCATCATAAAACTTTTGAAAAGTTAATCCAACAAAAAATTATGAAAAAAAAATATTCGTCCAAAGCTTAAAGCAACAGCAGACCGCACATTTCCCACTAAAATTATTAATATAATAAATGTAAAAATTTGCAATGCCTTAAAATTATGTATTAATTAAGAAATCTGGCATAGTTTGGCAATACACTACATAGAAATAACGAGCAACGTAAAAGTTTAACACTTGGCCAACCAAGAAATTCTTATTCACTATTTGAAAATTTAGCATACATATGTATATATATATATTAAAAAAACCTTATGTGCGCCAAGTATTTCTTATGATTCTTTTCTTTCTATTAACATGTACGTTGTTTGCTTATATTAATCGTTTTGTTTATTACATAAGTTATATTTTCATGTTGATACATCTTTCAACAAACATTTTTATAGAATTAAAGTACTATATTTAACTTTTTATCCACATTAAATTTAATCAGACATTATTCTATAACGATAAAGAGAGAGTCTGACAGTTGTATAAAATCTATTACTTATTTTCTTACCAGTTTTGTCATCTGATTTAGCATCCGGGTAAAGCACTAACATAAACTCGTTGCTCGTAGCATCGGATTTGGAAGGTGCAGGTTTTTTCCTTAGCGGTACGGGCGAGGGTTCATTTAATGGTGTTGAATCAGCCGGCGCGGACAATCGTTTCCGTCTTGGAGTTGGAGAGATTGGCATCGCTTCTCCTTCTTCTTTTATCATCACCTCGTTTATTATTTTAGACTCTACCGCCAAAAATTCCATATCCACAGGCCGCCCTGGTATTTTAACTGGCGTAGATTCAACACTAGGAGCGCTCATTCCGTATGGGCTTTCTGCTTTGACACGGAATCGATATTCGCTGCCTTCAATAAGATCGAAAAGCGTGATGCTCGTTTTACGACTTGTAACTGCTTTTAACCACACATTCCAACCACTGCGGTAATACTCAACTACGTAGTTACCGATACGACAACCTCCATCATCTTCAGGCGGTTCCCAATTTAAAGTTACCGACTTATCTACCTGCCGGGCCACCGATACATTTCGTGGCGGATCTGGAGGTGCGGTTATCGTCACCAAGAAGGCTGCTGTATCTTCTCCTATATTATTCTTTGCATGGACTTGGTACTCACCACGGTCACTTCGTCTAGCTGATAATATTTTTAACATAGAAAACTTTGATGTGGTTGTTATTTGTATACGTTCATTTACACTTATAGGTTGCCCATCATGTCGCCACTCTACAACAGGAGTTGGTTTTCCTACTATTGTCGTTTTCAAGAAAACTGTTTCGTTTATTTCGTATAAGAGTCCGTCTTCGTACTGTCGAGGATATCGCAATTTAGGAGCGGCTTCTAATGATAACCTGCCTTTACTCACAGCATGGCCGGCTCGGTTAGTTGCCGTACATTTGATTTCGCCCTCATCGCTAGCAATTGTTTGATGAAAAATAAGGATACTTGTTGAATCTGTGGTTGATATTGCAGTCCGCCTACTGCTGAATATTTCATAGTCATCCTTAAACCATGCTATCGTCGGTACAGGAACACCCGTAAATGAAACACGAAATTCTGTCTTGTCATTTTCAAGAGCAGTGACATTTTCTAGATGTTGTAGGAATAATGGTGGTTCTTGTGATGTGCGGTTTGCATTGACAGTAAGGATGTCAGATAACTCGCTGTAATCAGAGCGACCCACGGCATTGATTGCTGTTACACGAAATTGATAACGGTGAGGTGGTTCGAGGCCGCTGAGGAGTAATTCCGGTCGCCATACCACTGGTGGAGCAGTTCGTACCCAATCCGGTGATCCTAAACGGTTACATTCTACCTGGTAACCTCGTAGAGGTGCCCCGCCATCGTGGCTCGGTGGGTTCCATTTAAGAGTAATAGCGTTGGGTTCTTCATCGGAGAGAAATGGAATAATTTCTGGCTTACCCGGTACCCCTGGTCGTCCTGCAAACAGAGAGTTTTAAAGATAATTGCATTACTATTACTATTCTGGTTATAAGGTATGAAGATCCGTGCATTTAAGCTATGACTATGTTGATTGTTTTTTGTAGTTCTTATGTAATAATATAATATTGAACTTTTGTCATTCAAAATAAAAGAGCCAATACGTGTAACGCCAATATAATTAGAAGCATAAATTCGTTACACAGATCCAGGCCTTACGATTTGTTTTGGTGAACCACGCTACTAAATAGCTGTGAGCGGTCTTTTAAAAATAGCCGCGTGAACTGGGGCTTTGGCCAAAGCGACTGGCAAAGTGGGGCGGGGTGGTATTGTATGGCAGGTGTGCATGTCTAATAGGGGATATTCACCTGCAGACTTCCAGTGAACGTTCTTCCTAGACTTGTGAGCAACGTGGGAGGATGAGTGGTTTCCCATGGCGGCGGCGGCGCGCGCCGTAACACTGAGCTGACTCCGCTAGCCCCCCTCCTCCCTGCACCACCTTCCCCTCTTTGAGCCGGGAATAACTCGCAGTCCTATTATACCGATGGGTTTCAGAGTCAAATATTTAAGATATAATACAATGACCAATCACTTATAGACTTATAAAGCATTTTAAGAAAGTATTTATGTTCTTCTCCGCATAGAACAAAACGTAAATGATGAATATTCGAACAGTAATTAATTATTATTATTACGAATCGTTTCTAGTTATAATTTTTTATAGTGACATCTAACGGATTGTTAGGGTACTCCCTTGTCACATGCTAAGCTCTAGTTCATATTTTCAATATAACCAACTTATCTATTAAAAATACTAGGGTAAGACACAGATGACGCCACTTTATTTTACTCAACTGAGTGTGTCATGTACGTACATAGTATATTGAAAAAAGTGGTTTATGTAAATTTTAAAAATGATCTTAATGAATCTCTAAATCCCTGAAAATCAAGAGAGCTAGGGGTTTTTGGAAAAAGCATAAAAGAAAGTTCTGAAAAAATACAACATCCAACTTCTGTAGTCTACGATAATAAATATGATGTATGCGGGAATGTTAAATTTAAACAATTGCAACAGCTGTATGTTATTGATACCTTTATTGTTGTTTTGATTATAGAGGAACAGTGCCAAGTTTCATTCCTAGCGATTATAATTTTTGAATACTGTTCAAATAATTATACATATGTATAGATTAAAATTGCAGAAATAATCAAAATTTATATTATTAACCCTAAGTAAGACTGGAATTTTGTAAGATTCAGAAATGGAACATAATGGATATCAATAACTTTTATTCTATACTTTACACAATAATCATTGTTTTGTTACACAATCATAATAAATAATAATAGTAGCAAAAGCCTACGTACTATTTTTAGATTCTATTTTAACTTGAGCTATATTAAATAGGCATAATGTAAAGCAGAATTTAATTTAAATAGTATTAAGGAGACTGTTAGGTTTAAGTTTTCAGAATATTTCATTTAATTTCTATCTGATTCTTTTATACTTTAAAATGTCTGCTAGTGAACACATGGTCAAAAAATATTAATTATTTATAAAAATATTATAATCGTAAAATAGGATAATATTTCTTCAAATACATATTCTTCTGTGTGTTCAATTAATAAGTATGTTAGTTAAACCGAATAAAGTGGTGAATACTTTAACACTACTAGTCGACAATATTTATGGAAAACCTTTTACCTAGGCACTATAGAGGTGTAGTTAAAAATTAAACACAATAGTTATACATAAACTAATAAAAATTACTACAGCTCCTAGCTATTATTGGACTTCTGGAAAATTTTTATATGTTCTATTTTAATATGAAATCCAAAATTAACTATTGATAGAAATAGATCTTACATTACCCACTCTACATAACACAAATCTAGAACAAGAGTAAATGGCTTTTAAGCTTGAATAAAAAAATTAAGAATATGTAGGTACATTTTTTAGGTTAATTTACAAAGAAATCGTTTGGATATTATTCGCCATTTAAATAAAGAGTTAATTCATACTATACGTATACACAAAAAGGAATGATCGATGTAAATGTTATGCAAATAATGCTATACGTCTTTGTATTGTCATTACCATAATAATCTCTCTTACTTTCACGAGTATCTCAAGTTACTTAATTTGCTTTCTATTTTCGTTTATATATTTGTTAATAAAGTAGTACAAAAACTTTGTAAGGTATAAAATACAATTGTAGATAAATGATTGACCTCACCTACAAGAAATTTTTCGTTAAGAAATTAATAATTATGATTATTTTATAACACCACAATATTGTTCAAGTGTGGTTTCTACTTACAATTTGTTTGTTTTAATTGTTGATGGTTATATGGACGTTTGTATTTCTTTCGTTTATACACTTTTTACCCTGAAAAGGAATAAGACACGAGGAATAAAAATGTCATTGTAAGTTATTAATTCTCTTTTCTTAAACATATAATTATTTTTTTCTATTTTAGGATTGAAAATCAGCATAAGCAGCTATTATTACTGCTTACTCTTATTAAAGGAACTCTGAAAATAACTACTTACAGACTCCTTAAAATAACTTGATATAAAATTTCGAGTGCTAATGATATATTTTAATAAAACCAATTAAAATTATCCAACAAGTGAAAAGGATTAAATGTGTTGTTAGTTATTACATAACATTTTAGATCGAATTATCTGGAAGTCTAGGATTGCAGTTTTGATGAATATGTTAAAAAACGTGTATGCTCCACTGGAAGGTATCAAAAGGTTATTGAATTGACTTATTATACTTATTTTTAATTATTTTTTTCATTGAAAATTCTTTTAAAAGACGATGGTTACTGTGATTTGATATATGTAATGTGATTTTTGGTACAAAGAAAAGACATATTTAAGTTAAAGTAATCGTATTTTTCAAAGTTTTTTTCTATATTGTTATTAAACAATGACTGTATTATAAGTACTAATAAAATAGTATCCCATATATTTTAGGATTAACCCATTTATACATATAAATGGGTATATAATTCTATTTGGTATATTCTATTATAAAGCGAATACATATGCTTTTCACTACTAGGAATTTCATTTTAATTATCATCAATGCGGTTATCCAGGGCTATCCAAATGTTCTATAAGCTTTCAGCTTCATAAACAAATCAAAGTTTTATTTTTTCCACAGTTTCCGAGCACCTCCTATGGTTGGTTTTGTTATAATAACAAGTAATGAAATACCTTCTGATGTACCTATATACATATGTTTTATATATTTTTATTACAATATTTTTGTGTTAGTTAATCTGCGTATTTAACACGAATCCTGAAATATATCTAATCTTTGTTTAATGTTATAAAAATATGAGAATAAACGTTAACAAGTACAATACCCAAAAACAGAACTCGTCTAAAGAGAAAGAAATAAATTTAATTTCAGACAGGAGCATCGTCATCCTTGTTTTTGAGGGATTATAAATCCATTTAACAAGAGCTTTATGCATCGCGAATATGTATTTCTATTGTAGATATATTTAATATTAATTAATTTTGGAAAACATGTTTGCAATATCCTATTGATTGTATCTGTTGAATGTAATCTGTATATTAATTTAATACTATTTTGATAATATACATGCGTGATACCCCGTCTCCTCGCGGATCCAATGTCACCTTGGTGTATTTGCGTCTCTGGCACTAATCCAACCGTATATAGGTCGCTTACACATCTAACGCTTACATCTTAAACAAAAATATATGAAATTCGTAATATCGTCTCTTTAATTGTTTTATGAATCATGTTATGAATAATATTTTTGCATTATTAGTTGATTTCATCATATTTTTTACTGTAAATAACTAAAATAATTAATAATAGTTATAAATTGTTGATAATGTATTTTCAATTAATTATATTTTATATATATATTGGTTGTTTTTATTAGTTATAAGCATTTTTTAATGATTTTTTTCTAATCTGTATAGACGATACCTCTGTCTTGGCACATCTCTTTGTCACGGCATGACAGACTCGCCAGTAATCCCAATCGATTGTAAACTCTTGAGGCTAAATAAATAATTGGTTGTTAAGTATTCATTATGCATAATTGCTATTTTATTTTAGTATTTTTGGATGTTTATTTCGTAATAATAATTTATTTTTATAAATATTCATTACACTCTTTTTATATGAATGATAACCATAACTTTAATTAGACTTAATAAAAAATAGGATTAATATTACTTCTGAATAAGTAATTATTTTTCAGTAGGTTTCCTTCTAAGTCGTTTAGATTTAGATTTTAGATTTAAAAATATTGCTGAAACAGTTTTTTATAATCTAAAATGTATTAAGGAAGGAAATTTTCCCGTTAACGTGTTAACTCGAAATTTCAGTAAATGTCCTTACAATTCATAGGAAAGTCAATATTTAGTATGAGGTCTTTCTCATGAGACAAGTGTTGCCGTTAAAAGGATCGTTATGTATTCTCTGCATTGCATACGTATTTATACGACTGGCATTGGAACTTCTGGATCTATTCCTCTTTTCAGGCTCTGAAACTCTTAAGTGCGTCCTTGGAGCTCGGTAGATTCGTGAATATTGTAACGTGTTGTGACACGATATGTCATATGATATCATATCAATGGAAAATCAGAGGGCTGCAAGATCCTTGCAGACGTCTGTACTCTAGGACACTAAGGAGCATAAAGAGCTCGACAAACCCGGCAGCCATGGAGTGTTGTAGGATCAGGAATTTCACCTTCGATGCCCTGACCTAGAGAAGAAAGGAGGATCAAGGTTTCTCTACCACAGGACTATCGATTGGTGTCTTGGCTAATATCTGCACTTGATAATTAGAACAGAGGAATCTCTCGCCTGTCGAGTGTAATAAATGCTTGTTTGGCGGGGATGAATACTGAAATGAAATTGAAATCTCTCTTCAAAAAAAGTTGACAACGCGAAGGAGATGCGAAGAAGTTAAAACGAGTAGCATGTAAAAAGTCGTGGCCATTTATTATGATGATGAGGCTCACCGTGGGGTTTATGGGTAGCGGAGAGTCTACGGTTCGGCCACTGTTAAATCCCTTCCAGTCACGAAAACCAAAAAAAGATAGTTATTTATGAGGTAAGGTAAAAAAAGTGCTGTTTTTAAAATAACGTGTAGTGTGTGGAAAAGAATATAGTTTTATCTTTGCTACTCCTACACAGATTTAAATCTCACTCAAAATTATCTAAAATAATGACCTTTTTCTCGATAGCTAACTTCAGTTTAGCGTTTCTTTAAATTTGTATAAAATGTAAAGATACAATGGTTTTACTTATTCATTTATTTTCTATCCCAAATTGTACTACAATAATTTATGTTAAGTCTTAATTGTTAATTGCAAGTATACGACAGACAGAATGATAAATATATTCCTTGAGAGCTTTTATGCAATTATTCAA